CCTCGACTAGATGGGGGAGTCGGAGTTCGAAGTTGAATATTGAGCTTAGATAACACTCGATCTGGATAAAGAGGAACTAAACCAGCAGCTGTAAAGCTGTTTTGAATAGTTTCTGATTTGAAAGCTTCAAGTCGTGCAACTGGTAATGCCTCAAGAAAATCAAGTTTGTCGATATGGTTGACGCCAAGACGCATTTTCTTTTCAACAAGTTGACCGTAAGAGCGTTTTAATACCGCAAAACACCCAATATCAAGTGGCTATAAAAGATGAGATGAATATGTAGGCATATAGATTGGAATGATATTGTTTTTTTTCGCAAAGTTCATCGAATTTCGGGGTCAAATGACTTCCATGTCCGTCAAGTATCAAAAGTCGATATTGACCTTTTGTCCGTGAATGAGTCGATGGAATGAATAGTTTTTCAAGCCATCGAAGGCCAATTTCATCAGAGGTCCATCCATTAGGACTGACTTCAAAGCGCCAATCATTTGGAAGATTGTCGAACCAAGATTCAATGAATACTTTGCCTTTGAAAATAATGCATGGAGGTAGTGCCCAACCTGAAGCATTTGTACATTCAATTGCAGTCACCTATTCGCGATTTCTAGGTTATAAAGGTGATCGCCGACTGTAGTATTTAGATCTCGTAATGACTTTAGCCGTTGCGGTTAATCCCACTTCAGAATCAGTCTCATCGAAGTTGCAAATGTCATCGTCGTCAATGCCGTATATGCCGTATTGAAGAATCTTTTTTTGAACAAGTGTAAACCATTCACCAATGATTTTTGGATCTTCAAATTTAGCACGTTCGTAATTGTAACGTCTGGAGATTCTCGAGGATAGATTGGGATGTCGTTTAATATAATTAGTGACCCAATTTTTGCCGACTGTAGATGATGGGTTGATTCCGCGATGCGAAAGTAGAACATTCGCCATTTCTTGCACCATTGAAGGTCGTGGAGCTGAACCACGAGTGTCCATAGAGAATATCCATTTTTCAAGTGATTCCTCTTCAATATCACTTAATTATGAGAATTTGCGTGATTTTGAATGCCAAGAAGACGCGTAGAAAGGGTTGAATTTGGCACTTTGAATACCCGTGCTGCTTCCCGAATAGAGGTAATTTCTTGTTTTTTTATAGCTTGTATAGCTAACAAGATCCTACCCTCTTGCTCTGTTGGGGTTTTAGAGCTTCGAGAGCGTATTGGTGGCATGGTGGATGGTTGAATCAATTAAGTGCTAATTCATGGACGCGTTTTGAGTGGGGTGTCCAGCTCGCTTGGGAATTACGTTACTATAAGAAAGATAGGATCCCTACTAGGAAATAAGCCTTTTGTCCCCTATATAGTCGTCCTTGTCCGCATAGATTTTTAAAAGAGCGGATTTGTCAGTTTAGTTAGTTAGAGAACTCAAAGTATTTTTTATACCCTATCTGTTAGTAGTTCCATACATTGTTGAAACCATAGATCTCTGTCATATCTTATTCATGACGCTTTTGAATCTGAGCATAGAATCCCCTTTGAATGAAGAACCAGGAATTCTCGACCTGAAATTTCTCCTTGTCAACCAGCCGCATCTACATGGAAAGCAGTCAGATCAGTGGGTTGCACTTCAAAAAAAAAAGGGAAGAAGAAGGAGCGCTTACATCATATGTCAAAACGAGGAATGGGATCAGTTTCTTGATCTCCAGAATACCAACATGCCGACCGAGACATACACGTCGTCCAGCCCCGAACTATAGCACCGTTAGCCCAGGCAGTGGAGAGCCATCGAGAGCAGGGCACAAACAGTAAGCAAGCTTGCCTCCAGGTGCCTCTTATGGACACTATCGCCTTCGAGCCAGCGCTCTGGTCGCCAAAACTCCGCATCATCTCCAAAAGTGTTTGGGTCCCGGTTCACAACATACGGGTTTCCACCGATAACCGTGCCCTCAGGCAGGTAGTGCCCGAGCACCGTAAGACCGCCCCTGGGGATAACACGTTCAAATGGCAGTGCAAAGGGGGGATGGACCCGCGCTGCCTCCAGGACACAGGCGTCGAGGTAAGGCAGATCGCGCACCTCGCTATACCGCGGAAACGGACGTGAAGGATTCGCATTTTCGAGCTCTTGTCGGAGCTTGTACATGGTATTTGGGTAGGCTAGAAGATTGAAAAGCACGGTGCGCATGATTGTGCCGACTGAGTCGGAGCCGGCAATGACGTTAGAGAAGGTCCAGGCCGTTGGAGCCCAGGCGGGGATGCTGGGGTTACCCTTTTGTAACTGTATGTAGCGTGTGAGAAAGTCGGTGTGGCTGTGGTTGTTTGGTGCTTTGTCTGGCTCTATGTCGAGCTTCTGGGTCTTTTCTTTTATGGCCTGGGCCACGAACGACATGATTGAAAGAGACGGAGTCGGCCGAAAAGCTTGGCGCAGAATGTCGGCGATGATGTTTTTGCGTAAGATACGATCGAGAAAGGGGGATTGGGTCATCTAGCATTGATTTGATCAGTTTCTGCTTGGACCTGGGCACATGCAGAACAGAGAGAAGTTGTGTTACTGGTGCGGAAGTCCTCATGAAATCAATTATCGTGGCGAGCATGCCACCCACATCCTTTCCTTGGTCGAGAAATCCGTATCGCTTGGAGAAGGTCATGGTGCCCATAACGTCGAAGGCAAAGAATTGCAGCCACTGGCCCATGTTAATGACCTGCTCCGTCGCGCAAAATTTTTGATCGAATTTATTATGAATGCACTGTAGGACCTCGTCGACGAGTGGCTCGAAGGTGACAATATTCGAGAGGTTGAAAAGTGGTGCAATTGGAGACTTGATCTGCTTGAGGATATCCTCTTCAGTGGTGTTGAAGACTGCATGCAACGACCCTCCACTCCTCGTGTATGGCCGCAGAGTCATATAAAAGTCGCCCTATTTTTGTGTTAGCACTTGCCCTTACTAAAGAAAACTGATTGAGAACCTTTGGTATGCCTGGCCGCATGGGGTAGACCGCTGGGATGGCCTCGGGGTTACTGAACGACACCATATTTGGCCCGATACGGACTACCTCGCCATACTTGCGGTGCGCATCTTGCAAGATCAGATGTGCCCGGGCTGTTGGTACCCAGCTCATACGATGCAGATCTGTAATGCAAGCTGGAAAGGGCCCGGGGATGTGCTTCAATCGCCACCAGGTCCAACCCAAACGGACAAGAACGACGGTTATAACCCCGATCACCTGCCAAACCAAGTTGACAGAAACAAAATTTGGGTCCATTGTATTAGTTGGGTTGCTGGAGGGAGTTGTCGAACTCGGTGGGTATTAGACAGGGTCATGACAGCCCTAAGTGCATCGGGTACTCGGGGCTGCGCTGATCTCACACTTGGGGTCAACCCCAGCACTCAATGCCACTTGAAGCGCAACTTATTATCCTCGCCTGAACGTATTAATCTAATTGCAGTAAAAATGTCAGTCGCCGAGTCTCAAGGGCCCGAGGTTCAGGCTTATTGGTGGACAACTAGCGGGCGCGACCTCTCCCGTATGCTGAAAGAGGCACAGTATCCCGAAGATGCACAGCGCCAATTCTTGCATTTCTTCAAAGAAAGTATCTGTCCGCAGTTGGGTGGTCCTCCAGCAGAGAATTCTGTTCGAAGCGGCGTCGGCTGGGACGGCAATCCCTTCGAATACAGCTTCGAGCTGAAAAGCTCCAGCGACACCCAGGCGGTTCGGTTTGTCGTCGATCTCAGTCCCCTACGACCAGCCGACGAGACCAATCCGCTTAGCATCAAGAACTTCGAGGCGGTCCTGGGCGCACTAGTGGAGCGCACGCCTGGCTTTGACGACACCTGGTATAGATCACTGCGTGAATGGTTCGTACATGCACACCGGCCCACTATAGTGCAGAAAAAGCTGGTGGCGCAGGTGGGATACCAAATGCCCATGATCCTTGGATTCGACATCTCTCGACATTTACCGGTACCAGATGCCATCCCCGTCATGCCTAAAGTCTACTTCCCTCCGTGTTTCACTGCGGCTGCAGAGGGTATCACTCGCTGGGAGGCTGTGCGTCGGGGCGTAATGCAACTCCCCGATATAAAGTCTCATCCTAACATCCTGCTCTCGCTCGATTTGATCCAGGAGTACTTGGATACCAAGCCCAAAGAGTACGAGAATGGGCCCCGCTATCTCGCAACTGACTTTGTGACTACCGAGAAGGCGCGCCTGAAGATCTACATGCGGCATCCAGCAGAGTCATTTGACGATATATGGGACTACTACACCCTAGGTGGCAGGATTCCAGGCCTGGATGAAGACAGGGACCGCTTTCGTGAGCTCATGGCATTAACCTCATACAATCCTGATATCAGCAAAGCCCAAAATGACCAAACTCCCTACACCGCGGTGCAGAGGAAGATGACGGCCATCTATTTCTCACTTTCCACGGATCATCCCGTCCCTGCGCCGAAGATCTGCTTCTATCCTGCCAATTTTGCGGCCAACGACGAGTCTATTGGACAGGGTGTGGATGAATGGCTACAGAAATACGGATGGAACAAAAGGGGCAAATCGATGACAGAAAGAGTGCAGGAGGTTTTTACGCACCGGGAGCTGCACAAGAAGACAGGCATATTTACCTTCTTAGGGCTTGGGCGGAAAGAGGACCCGGCAAAGAGAGACTTGAGCATGCAGATATATGTAACAGGAGAGTTATATAGCATGCTACGTCCGTGACCCAAGTACGGACACCTAGTGTAGTACTAGGTACATATATATCAAGTTAGTCCATCGCACGAAGAAAAAAGCGTGAACAATTATTTCAGAAAACATAGCAATATGGCATCTTCACCTGCACTGAAGATTCCCCCCTCATCTTTCACCGTTGACGTGCGAGTCATAGACACGTAGGTTTTTTACAAAGTCCGCCTTGGCTATAACTAACATCAAAAAGACAAACTGAGCTCTACCTGAATTCCAGTCTATTCTGGCAGCCTCCACTAGAGGGATTTGCCGGCCTTAACGCCCCTGTGTATTGCTTCCTAATTACCCACGGCGACACACAGGTCATATTCGACCTGGGTGTCCGCTCAGACTGGGAAAATTACGCACCGCACATTGTCTCGCTCATCAAGGCCACCACTACCGTCACCCGTGGCAAGGATGTGGCCGCCATCCTGGATGCGGAGGCCAGTTCCAGTGGCATAGCCAATGTCCGCAGCAGCGATATCCGCGCAGTTATTTGGTCGCACAACCACTTCGACCACATTGGCAACATGGCCACATTTCAAGTAGCCACAGATCTGGTTGTTGGACCCGGGTTGCGCGCCGCCTCGATTCCTGGCTGGCCCGCAGATCCAGGGAGTGTAGTGTTAACTGGCGACACAGAGGGTAGGACGGTCAGGGAGATCTCCTTCGCATCTGGGCTGAAGATCGGCCGGTTCGATGCAGTAGACTACTTCGGCGACGGGTCGTTTTACCTACTTGACGCGCCTGGCCACGCCGTTGGCCACTTGTGTGCTCTCGCGCGAACAACTCCAGACTCCTTTGTCCTGATGGGGGCTGATGCGTGCCATCATGCCAGCCTCTTGCGCCCGACAGAGTACCTACCTCTCCCTGCGTCTGTGCCGGTGGGAATACGTGGCTCTTGCCCGGGCGACGTGCTAGCTGGGCTTATTGTATCGAGGGGTGTTAGCCCATGTAGCCCGCTATTTACAGTGGCGGGGGGGCCTGTGTTTCACAACCGGGGAGAGGCCGTGGAGACTGTGCGAAAGATTCAGGAGCTTGATGCTGAGGATGGGGTCTTTGTTATTTTAGCACATGACCGCTCGCTCATGACGAGAATCCCGATGTTTCCGAACAAGGTCAATGGCTGGAGAGAGATGAGCCTGGGCTCGGCGACCCGATGGATGTTTTGTGAAGACTTGAAGCATGTCAAATTTTGATTCTTCGATATTAAATGAACTACTAAACGCGCGCGCGAAGAAATTTGTATCCCTCCTGGATGGCATCCTGTATATCTGCACGCTCCTGATATTGGCGATAGATGTCGAATAGGTGTGGCGCATCCTCCACAATGCATAACTGGCTGTCGATACCCCGTCTCTGGAGCGCTTCATACGTACGTTGCGCATGCTGCCATGGGATCAGGTCGTCGTCTCGTGAGTGGATGATGAATGTAGGAGTTGAGTATGCACCGCTGCGAATTTGCGCAAACGGACTGACAGCCCTAATCGCTTCCTCGGTGGGGGCATTTGGTTCCTCTCGCTGAGTAGGATACAGGCCATTGAGAAGGACGTGGAGCGAGCGGCCGTGCCAGTTCATGTACAGTGCCAACCGACTACGCGGGTCAGTCGAAGACAACCAGCCCCCCATGGCTCGCTCGGCTGGGGCGACATTGTAGCTTGCGATCGGCTTTTCTCGCACAGCAGACCATGCAGTTTGATCCAGTTCATATGGTGTGGGGGTACATTCCGATCCAACTGGCACATTAGGGCGTAGCCAAAACACGTCTTCATAGTCAAGAGGGCAGTAGAAGGCAAGTATGGCCTGTGGAGGCTCGATATTTCGTGGTATACTATTCCACCCCAGTGATACGGCCAAATGGCCACCAGTTGACCAGCCAACGCTGACAACGCGGCGACCGTCGATCTTGACATCGGCGCGCTGTAACTGGATAGTAGGCAAGACTGTTCGAATCCAGGCCAATGCATCTACGACGTCCTTCATCGGGCCCTGGGCCAGTGTAACCTCTGGACAGAGTCGATAGTCCACGGCGATCGGCAGAAACCCCTTCTCCTGGAGTAGCTGTGTCTGCCTAGGGCGGATATCATTGCGGGACAGCATGATGTGGCCACCACCGTGTATCATCAGGGCTGGTAAAAGTCGACCAGGTCAGCTGGCCTTCTTGAAAATATATTTCGGAGCAGTGGGCTTACCTACAGGGAGCGGCATGTTTGGAGATGCCACCCGAACAGGATAGTGTAGATCTGCCTCCAGGCCTAAGCCATCGATTTGTTTGAAGACGACCGTCTCCTTCCCCATAATTTTTGACGGCGACGCCGTGATAACCCGTACAAGATCTGACTCCCCGGACGGGCTGTCGCTCCAATCAACCCAGGTAAATCCAGCGTCACGCAGACACCTCTTCCAACGCGACTCATCGGCCAGAACATGTTCTCTGCCATCATTGAATAACCACCAACCCTCGAGTAGGCCGAATACAAGATCAAACCAGAAGAGGTTTCGCGTGAGCTCCACCAGGCAAAGAACCCCGTCAGGCTGCAGCATCTGCCGAATGTGTGTCGTGGATTGTACTAGGTCGCGGGTGGCGTGGATACAATTCGTGGATAGCACTATATCGTAAGCTCCCAGCATGTCTGATGCAGGGGCTTTCTCAATGTTCAAGACGGCGAAGCGCATAAAGGGCTGCGTGAACTTTTGACGGGCCGCAGCCACGAGTGAAGATGAGATGTCAGTGAACGTATATGTGAAACTACCTAATGGAGCAAGAGCACTAACAATGCCCTTCGTTGTGCCGCCAGTCCCAGCCCCAAGCTCCAGAATCCGGATTTCTTGACCGTTCCCCAAGCGCGATACAATGGATGCAAGATACTGGGCCAGCAGGAGAGTGCCCGTTTTGAACATGGGGGCGTTCGTGTACACGTCTTCAAGCAAGCCACGGGTGGATGCGTCCCGGAAGATCAGAGAGATGGGATCCGATGCACCAGACAGACAGTCAGCCAGTTGGCTCCCCGTTATGCAAAGCAGTTTTGTTTCAGAGGCGTGCTTGGGGAATTTGTCAAGGAGGATGGCATGCAGACCGGCCGCTGGCTTTGTTGGGACAGGGGTCTCCGAGCGCTGCATTCGGCCATCTTTGGCCCGATAAATGAGCCTCGCGTCTTCCAGAATCCTGTACAATTGAGGAACGACCTTTCCTTGGCTCTCAATGTGCGGTATGATCGAAACATCACATCCCACTGCCATCGCCTCGAGATCACATCCCAAAGTTGCAAAGGCGTCCAGGATGTACCGAACAACAAGCTGGGATTGATCAGGAAGTACCTGTTGATAGAAACCTGCAAAGCCCGTCGCGCTGGCGTGACTGTCGTAGTAGGGCTTCACCTCGGAGAAGCACTTCTGGCTCAGCACAGCAAGTTTGATGTCTAACTCGACTGGTGTAACTTCATCCGGGGTTAATGTCAAAGGGGGCCTGGGGAGGCCGTTTGTCAGTATTACAGGTGACGGAAAGCTAGACGGCTGAATTAGCTGCGACAGCGAAAGGACATCGGCACACTGTTGGAATTGGGCCTGGGAGATGCGTATGTCGAACGACTTTTGGATTTCCCATAGAACTTCGCTAACTAGCAAGGAGTCAATCCCGAGGAATTGGATATTGGACGAGGGTTGTACATCATCTAATGAGATCTCTATGATGCTGGCCAATAGACCCCTGAGCTTTTGGAGGGTGGTGGTAGTGCTGGCTGTTTGGAAACGTTCCACGGTTGAAGTCTTGTTTTGGACGGCAGGGTGTACTGGCGTTTGATATGCAAGAGAAGGAGGCTGATACGCCGAGTCCGGCTGGGATTTTATATCATCCTCACCATGGTCAATGCCATCCGACACAGGTTGATTTAGCCGTGTAAGGGCACGGGCCAGAGACTTGAATGGGACACTGCGAAACGAGGCTCCCACGATGACAGCAACAAGAGACAATTTGGCATCATAAACGAAGATATTATTGGTCAAACCCCCACCGTCAACTGTTTCGTAGTGAGTGTAAGCCGTCCACTCGCGCCGGTCGACCTTGGGACCGCGGAAGCACGGGCCGAATATGACTTCATCCACGGCAGTGCACATGAAAACCTCATCATCCCGACGCAAAGAGAGGCAGTTGACATGGATACCAGCCACTTGAAGAAAGTTATCCAAATCGATAGGATGGCAAATGGTCATCTTATCGAGGAACGTCGGGAACTCCTGGGGGACATCGATGAATCCAACGGCCTCATTGCCCATGGCTGACACTGATTTTACTCCGCGGTAGTAGGGGGCGTAGTGAACAACATCCTGGAATAGCTGATATAAAATACTGCCACCGATGGTTGTTCTGTCGGGACAATCGATGATCCGAGTCAGACTCGAGGGTGGCGCGATCTTCTGAAGTAGTTTTAAACGTAACCCCGCAGCCATATCATTGGGACCAGACATCGTGACACGGCCCGTGCCGTGTTCCTTCTGATCCAAGGACTTGCTGAAGATCCTGAAGTCCCAGGAGCCGGGTCTTACAATTGCCAAGCGGAGGTACAGATCCGCCTCTAGGCCAAGGGGGGAGGATATGGTTAGACCTTCGATGTGAGGGGAGGACTGTATAGTGTCCAGGTTCTTGTGCAATAACACCGCGCTCTGAATAGCAAGTTCGATATACATTGAGGCAGGACAGAGGCCCTGGCCAACGACAGCGTGGCCTCTGGTTGCAAGGTCAAAGATGGGATTCGAGGTGTCAACACTGAACAAGCATGTTCCGTCTGCATCTGCGGGATTTATGAGAGTTACCAAGCTGGATTGCAACTGCGATGGCTGAGAGGAACATGGGGAAGGCTTGTAGTCAATCCAATGCCGGGTTTGCTCGAACTGGTAGGGTGGAAGATTGACACACGGCAGCGAAGGTTTATCCTCGTGGAATGGCCAGAACTCAGCTGCAGCACCAGACTTCCACAGCTGGCACACCGCGCTCGCCAGGGACTCCCTTGCATCGCTAGTTCCTAACTCCATCGGGATAAATACATGAGGCGCGCTGGATGGAGACAGAATGCGGCGAACCAAGCCAATGATGGGAGTTGCCGATCCGGCTTCCAGCCACACAGCCGAGGGCAAGCGCATGGCGGTGCGCTCGACGGCATCTTGGAAGTAAACGGGCTGTCTCGTGTGCTGTACAAGCTCATCGGCTGTGAAAGTGGTCCAGCTTGCGTCGGGGGAACAGGTCTCAACGTATATTCTGGGTGGTCGGATCGTGATTGACGCAGCAATGACCCTAAGATCGTTCAGAATTCCATCCGCCATATGGGAATGGTATGCGTGTGTGTTCTGGAGTGGTACTGTTTTGAACTGGCTGCATTCTTGCTGCAGGCGATCTACAGAGGACGCATCGCCCGCAAGCACTAAGTTTCGTGGGCCGTTATAGCAGGCCACCTCAACCCGATGCCCGGGACTTGAGTTGACCTGTGTAAGGATCCTGTTCAGCTCAACTACATCGCACTCTATCATGAGCATAGCTCCGCGATCCGGGCCCCATTTGTCACGGATCAACCTTGCTCGACCAGCAACCAGCTGGAACGCGTCCTTCAAGGAAATAGATTCCGCGACGCATAACGCAGCTAGTTGGCCAAAGCTATGACCAACCAGTGTGTCTATTTTGAGACCAGCGTCAAGCCAGGATAAAGCACAAGAAACTTGCATCGCCAGGAGCATGCAGTGGAGCAGGACAATGTCATCAACTGGTTCGCCGGCGAAGATGTTGTTTAGAATCCCGGGAAGCCCAAGGTACTGACAGACAGCTTCGCATTTATCCTGGAAATGGTCTTGTCAGCTATAAAGCAAACTCATAAGACAAGTGTTAGAATATACCAAATGGTAGCGAAGGAGTGCGCAGCTGTCATATAGTTCTCGCGACATGGTAACGGTACGCCCTGTTTGCCCCCCAAAAGCCAGCACCACAGGCTGGTTTCCAGAGCGCGTGATGTCTGAATCCTGATTTTCAATATATCTTCTAAAGTCTGAAGTGTCTCGTGCAACGAATGATGCTCTGTAATTGAAGTTGGGGTTCTGTTGTCGCAGTAGAGAATTTGCAACGTCCCTCAGGGAAATACTGGGGGATTTCAAAACGAAATTCGTGAGCTTCTCCAGGTACATTTTAAGGCTCGAGGCAGAGTTGGCTGCGACGACAATGGGATAGATCGTCAACAAACCATCCACAGCTTTTTTTTTATTGCCAGGGGCTGTATATGCCCTCAGAACAATGGCGGCGTTGCTACCAGCTGCGCCATAGTTGTTCACCAAAGCCACAATATGCGGCGAGGTCCAAGGCTGTGCCTGCTGTGGCACCTCAATCTGCTCCGAACGCTTGATCTTCGGGTTCAAGTTGACAAAGTTGGCCTGTCGGGGAATCGTTTTGTGATGCATCATGAGGATGGTTTTAATAATCCCTGCAGCACCAGAGGCCGCCTCGGCGTGACCAATATTGTCTTTCACCGACCCTAGAAAGACCTTACTCTTTCGACCGGCCCCCGTGAGGGCCAACCTGACGCTATCGTACTCGATTGGATCACCAATCTGCGTGCCTGGAAACGTTTCAGCTCATGTAAAATTTGCAAAGAGAATGTCACCCACCTGTGCCATGAGCTTCAACATAACTCACGTCCGTGGGGTCAATGCTACCCAAGGACAAAGCTTGAATATACAAGGCGCTCTGTTGGTGCGAGTCCGGAACAGTTATAGAGCCGCAAGAAGAGCCTTGATTGACAGCAGATCCAGAAATTACACTGAGGATATTGTCTCCAGCTGCGATAGCTTTGGACAGTGGCTTGAGCACGACGATTCCCGCTCCCTCCCCTCGGCAGTAGCCAGCAGCAGAAGCATCAAAGGCGCAGGATGATCCACTGGGATTGAGGAAGGAAGCGGCGGCGAGATTCTGGTGTAGGCTTGGGCTTGTGATAACGTTCACTCCACCAGCGAGAGCCATGTCACATTCGCCAGTCAGGAGAGCCTTAGATAGAGTCAGATCCGCTGGAGTTAAATACTTGTTTGAGCAGTCATACCTTGCATGCAGTGTGTATGGCCACAGCTGACGACGAACAAGCAGTGTCGAATGTAATCGAAGGGCCACCCCATCCGAAGAAATGGCTAATACGCCCACTGATAAAAGCCCTTAGAGTTCCAGTGGCTGAAAAAGCAGTTGCGTCAGCAGAGCCCAAGTTTCCCTCGTAATCAACCGACCCAACCCCAAGATAGCACCCCACATTGGTCTCCTGGCGCCTGCTCTTCGACCCAATACCATAGTATCCAGCCATTTCTACTGCTTCATAAGCGACCTGCAGCGCTAGTCTTTGCTGTGGGTCCATTGACTTTGCCTCTCTACCGGAGATTCCAAAGAAGCGATGATCAAAGACGTCAGGATTAGACAAGAAGTTGCCCCAAAACTCAGGCAGCTTAGGCTTTCTCTGTAGATCTGTAGGATCAAAGCGACTGGGAGGTAGAGTTCCAATCGCCGTTTCTCCAGTACTGATAAGTCTCCAAAAATCCTCCAGTGACTCCCCTTGTGGGAAACGACAGGCCATCCCAACCACGGCGATTTCCTCAAAAAGGCCCGTGTTTGACTTGGCAACGGTAAGGGACCGTGGGATACAAGATTTGGAGCCGACAGCAATGAAGTGAGGATCTTGTGGACGATTCTCATCAACCATTCGCTTGATGGTCTGGTACCAGTGCGCACGCTTGCAAAGAATGAGGTCGATAGCGACGTCGTGCAAGGGCCCCGTCACAATGAGCTCTGTATCTGAAGTTGAACGGAGTGGCAGACGCAGATCATTGGCAATTGGCAATTGCAGGTCGGGAATTTGGGCACATATTTCCTTCAGTTGCTGGGCAGCGTTTGTATGCTTGGGATGGTGATAGGAGCCATTGAGGCCGGTCATCGTCATAGGGATGCGATTCTCGCCTAGGCGATCCGTCAAGTGCCCCATATGTCGACGTGGAAGAGTGACAGTAAGCGTGCAGTCGTCGGTAATGCATGAGATATATGCCTAGGTGCAATCAATCAGTAGTGTACTTAGGTGGGCTTTAGTATATTGCGACATACTCCAGGAAGCAGATCTAGGGTGCTCTCAAGGATCGCCCGGTGTGAATGGGACTGACAGCGCACAGAGATAGCAGTCACGCGGTCCGCCGAGGCATGAGAGGCATCTTCTGCATCTATGATAAGTCCGATACATGTCGCTATACGAATGGCATTCGCAGCGTAGTGCTCAAAGTCCTGCTGTGTGGTTGTTGCAGCAACTGCAGCGGACAGAAACCCAACGCAGAAGCCTTGGGCTACCATGTCCGAAGTCGTGATAGACAGCCATTCTACCATGTGTGACACCACCGTCAATGGCACCAACTGGACGTTACTTGTCAAAGTCGTTAGGTCTGGGGTTTCATTGCCAGCTAACCCGGCTAGGGTTTCCAGCTGTGATAAGACATCATTCTGGGACAAAGGGAGACTGGCGATAAACGCTGGCAATTGGGCCAGACAACGGCGCAAGAATGCTAATCGGGAAATGTTCTGGAGATCCGATTGTAGCCGACATAGACGCTCGGTGGTCCATTGCAGTTGGGTCAGTTGGGGTCCAAAAAGAACGATGCGAGGGTTGGAAGGCATGGTGGAGGCAATCATCACACTGATAGCCAAAACCAGCCAGTCGTATTTGTTTTCAACCAATTCCTGTAGCAATCCAGAGTGAATGCGCAAACCCCGAGTAGAACAAAGAAATCATCCGGGGTTACCAAAAGTCCGCGGCGTTATGGCACCCTTAACTCCGGCCCGTGATACTTAAAAGTTCACTCACTTGTCGATGCTTTCTCTTGCTCCTTACCGTTAACTTCGTCATGGCTACTACCAAGCTCACCTGGCTCATTACGGGCTGCTCCTCTGGCTTCGGCCTTTCCTTGACCCGCGCCGCCCAGGCTGGCGGACACAAGGTCATTGCGACATCGCGTAACCCATCGCGCACTCCCGACCTCGTCGCCGAGATCGAATCCAAGGGAGGGAAATGGATCCAGCTTGATGTGGATAGCCGTGATTGCGGCAACGTGATCACTGAGCTTGAAGGTAGTGGCGACCATATTGACGTCCTAGTCAATAACGCCGGCTATTCAATCTACGCCCCTATCGAGACCTTCGAAGAGGAGGAGGTACGAACCCAGATGGAGACTATGTACTTTGGTCCCTTGCGACTTATCCGGGCCGTTCTACCCTACATGCGCCAGCGGAAATCCGGTGTGATCGTCAACATGAGCAGCGGTGCTTCGCTTGACGGTATTCCCACTATGGGTGTTTACGCAGGTGCAAAGGCTGGAATGGATGGTATGTATCAATACTAAAGAGCTTCTAGCCAATAGAAATAGCTAACTGTGAATCCGATAGCTCTTACCAAGATCCTCGCCAAAGAAGTTGCCCCGTTTAACATCCGCACCCTGACTGTTATTCTCGGAACCTTCAACACCAACATGCCTGACTCGGTAGTTCTAGGCAAGACTCCCCTACCCGAGGACTACAAGGGAACCTTTACGGAGCAGGTTCAGGGTCTTCTAGTCAGTGGAAAGATTAAGCCCAACGGTGACAAGGACAAAGCAATGCAGGCTGTATACCAAGTCGTTGTTGGCGAGGGAGTTGGTGAAGGCCATCAAACCGAGAAGCTTCTCCCTCTGGGGAGTGACATGACCCCCCGTCTCAAAGGAGTTCAGAATTATCTCGGCAATGCTTTGGAAGTGTTCGGTTCTGTGACCAACAACGTGGATGTAGACAAATAATGCAGATCCTTCCAGTCTTACAAAGGAAGTTTGAAATCAGTTTTACTTCTGGGGTGAATACCTAGTGTAGTGGAGTACGAAGTCCGTTTGCGACCGCTGAATCGACCCGTATGCCAGAGAGCATGCCGCCTTGAACGTTCTCCTCTTCACTAGGTAGTGACATGCGTTACATTATAATGGCCAGAGGGTAAAGATTACCGGTAGTCAAGTGACCACCACCCAGGGATTTCTTTTTGTACCCCCCGTGCCTCCCAAGGCTTACGTAGAATAATGTCATCAGCCATTACTCTTATTCCATCGGTTCCATCTCAGCAGTTGCTTTCCAGTGCTAGAAAATAACCTCGAGAGATCAGACGTCAAGAAACCGGGCCTTTGTGGAAGATATCTGTCAGAAAACTAGGTTACAATACATGATGCAAACCACCAACATGTGACCCCGGCTGCCCTATACAAAAGTACCAGATTAGTCATTTGATCCCACAACAGATTGCATAAATAGGGGATTTTGTCATTTTAGTTAACTAGTTAGAGAACTCAGAGTATTTTTCATGCCCTATCTATTGGTAGTTCCATACAGTGTTGTTGAACCCATAGATCTCTGTCAAGATCCACTGTCCCCTCCATCAGGGCGCGGACCGGTCGGCTTACTCCACAAGACCAAACTGACAGAGATCTATGGTTTCAACACAAACACCTACAACAGAGAGATTGCCTCGAAAGCCCCCTCGTCCAAATAGTGATGATTTATAAATACATCACACTAATTCTGCCTCGATAATACCCTGAACTGCCAGTGGAGACCTCCAGATCTTGACCACTTTGAATCCCTCCAGTCGCAGCAACTGCTCCCACTGCATCTCAGTCCGCTCCGTACCAGCCACCATTACCATCATGGTCAAATCGTACGCAGTAGTATGTGGATGCGCGAGCGCCCGGGGAGCAATATGATCGTGGATTAACAGCGTGCTATATCCTGGTGTCATGGCATCTCTCTGCATAGCGAGGATCTTGCGGGCGGGCTCGTCAGACCAGTCATGGAGCACACCGTGCATGTAGTAAACCCGAGATCCCTTGATTGGCTGCGGAGAGAAGAAGTCGTAGCCCAATTTATTTACTGGGTCTGGACATTTGGACAGCTTGACGACCTCGGGTCGGTCCTGCAAGTAGAGTCGGCTGGCGGATTCAGCGTGCACCTCACGGAAGCGTTCTATGTCATGTCCAATGTTGCCGCCGACATCGACTACAAGAGGCGTATCTCCGCGCGAGGTCTCCAAGATTTGCTTGTGTGGGAAGATATCCAGCCAGCCAGCCTGATTGGCCATGACGCCCCCCATGACGTGGTTGAAGGATTCGCCCTCGCGAGGGTGGGCTTCGTAGTAGTTGAACATGTCGCCTTTCCAGTTCTTGGTGTACTGAAACACGCCATTCGCTGGGTCAAGGGGAAGTTCATAGCCAGTTTTTGCCAAAAACTCCGGCATCTTGAAGAAGCATGGCAGTGTAGCGTCGTATCTGTAGGGATTTTTAGAGTCACGCTGACTTTGTTGCTTAGTGTCACTTACAAGTGGTTAATCCACTCACAAAATACCGGCTGGAGGAGGGACTTGGTGAATGATGTAGGCTCGAAAACGCCAATGGATGGCTCTTTGAGCATATGGTTTGAGGCTAGATGTCGTAAGAGACGATCTTTATCGAGTTAGCTTCTAGACATATACACCTGTATTGTGGCCTGATACCTAGAAGAGCGGTTTCGCATGGTACAAGCTTAGAAAGCTCATCTGCAGTTGCTGCATGATCTCCCACTTGATGCCAGTTTTCAAAGAGCTGAAGGTCTTTACACACCTTCAGGGCAGCTCCCAGCGCCGGCTTGACACAGGTCAGTTGGTGATTTTCAAAGATAAGGATAACTCACCTGGCCCATACAAAGTCTGGCAGTGGTCTCCCATGGGGTCTCCAGCCGTGCTACCAGGGCATACGCGGCCAAGAGCGTTTTGATTCTCAGGTCTTCGTTCTCGAACGAGGAGGGGGTAACTCCGGAAAGAAAACTGGCAATATCACTGTTATCGTTCATTTTGATTACTCTGACGATTCACGGAGAATAACATCTATTTCTTTATGCATACAGTTGCCTGTTCACTTGGGGATTGGGACCCTGGTTGTACACCCAGCCCCGAGTAGATATCACCTGGGCTTTGTTTTTGGCACTCTGCGCTTTTTTTCCTCGAAAGTAAGTAAGGGAAAAAACAAAAGGCTCAATTCCTAAGATGGCCCTTGAAAAGCTCACCTATCTCCTACTCTCTTCTATTCTTGGAATCGTGATCTACCGACTGTTTCTCCATCCCCTCAGCCATGTACCAGGTCCGTTCTTGGCCTCTTTCAGCTCGCTCTTTATATACGTAATTTGCTATCTTGGAGTTGAGGGTCGTGTACTTCGTTACTTCCACCGTCGCTTCCGCACTCCTGTCCTCCGTGTAGGGCCAAATAGCGTATCCATCTCGGATAGTAGCGCACTCCGCGACATTTATGTTGCCAATGGCGGCTTCCCCAAAGATGATCGGTACAAGAATTTCGACTTGGGCACAATTGCCTCAATTTTCTCATCTCGAGATACTAAATATCGCGACCGGCGCGCCAAAGCTGTGGCTCCTCTCTTTGCTCCTGCCCGCGTGCGGTCGGCCTGTGCCCTAGATCAGCCCATTGGACAGTCTATCACTCAGTTTGTCGAGCGCCTAAGCATCTACCAGACAAACAAGGCATCTTTTGATCTCGTCGATATTTGCGCCAGGCTCTCGATAGATGTCGTGACAGGGTACCTCCTCGGGGAGCCCTACGGGGGCTTCGCTGAGTCTGCGCACCTCTCTGCAGAGGCACAACGGGGGGTGAAGCTCAGCGCTAACCCATTCATCTTTGCCATTGTGGCTTTCTCGCGCTTCTCGCTTCTGCCGAATTTTATTTTCCGGCAGGTCTACAGGCTCGCCATTCATCTTGCCTCGACCGACGATTCGATTCTATCATTCTACAAACTGGATCAGTTCGCTGTAGGCGTCACTTCCCGTGCCGATGTAAATTCCGCACGGATTTCGACATATCAATCTCGACTTCTAGAGGCGGGGATTTCTCCAGAGGAAACTGCTGCCCAGTGTAAGGCCGTGATATTTGCGGGTGCCGACTCTACCGCCGTCATGCTGGCAACCATCCTCTTCCACCTCATTCACAACGAAAAAGCAAGGCACAAACTTTCAGCAGAAGTGGCACAATTTCGACAGGAAACCCCTTCAATAGATCCAGAGTCCATCCCTTATCTGCGTGCTGTCGTCAAAGAAGGACTTCGACTGGGCATGGCCAACCCAACCCGATTGACTAGGGCCGTTCCTTCATCCTCCATCCTCCGTGTCGGCGAGTATATATTGCCTGCCGGCACCGTCGTAGGCTGTGCTGCGTATAACTTACATTATGACGAAGATGTGTATCCGCAACCCTTCGACTTCTGGCCAGAGCGGTGGCTAGAAGGCAGACAGCACGGAGGGCTCATGGAAAGGAACATGATGCCGTTTGGAGTGGGATCTAGGGCGTGTATTGGGAAAAATCTGGCAATGAGACTGTTGTATGAGACTGTTCTAGCGGTGGTTTGTCCTGTAGAGGGGGTATGTTTGTTAGACGGGGCTAGGTTACGATACAGCAAGATTGACATGATTGAGTGGTTTAATGGAGAGATTCGGGGGCATTGTTTGGATGTGGACTGGAATTGATTGTAGATATTACTACACATAATCGGGCATCCTATTTCGAAACCAATGGTTCAACATGTAAAACACTATTGGCACAGTGGAAATCCATAATGGCACAGTGGCCCTAAACTAGTTTGTGGTAGTAGTCCTTGGCAGTCAAATTTCAACACGCGTGCAATTTTCTATGGTATCGCCATAGTAAAAATCACTGCCCCCTGGCCACATTAGCCACAATGACTTACTCCAGAATCCATTGATATTACTAGGAATCTACAACAGTCTACCCTATAAAGATTCACCACCTCCACAGTGGCGGTACCAGCGTATAAATTAGCATAGTATTTAATATTTAGTATGGTATTTTACAAATTGATACTACAATATTCTTTTAAAAAACAGGGTTCTCAACCTTTCAACTCTCCATTTCTCTCACATACAACATACAACAATTTCTCATATACAATACCACTACTATATACTACACTTAGTATTCAGTAGCACCCCCCTGAGCATCAATAACCGCCTAGCACTGAGCAGGTATACTCTCAATCAGCCTATTTAAGAAATCCTCCGGTATAGTATCCTAAGTATCACAAACAACCCCTCAGAGTATAGTAGGCGTTATATACTGATCTCTATACTTCTCCTCTATCTAATCCTTTATCTAATTCTATAGAGATTCAATAGGATTTCAATCTAGTGAAAATTACGGACCGCTGTAATAGTGGGGCCTAAAAATATGTATCATTTTTAGTTAGCTTTATCCGCATAGATTAGAAAAAGAACTGATTTTACCATTTTAGTTAGTTAGAGAACTTGGAGTATTTTTTCATGCCCCATCTATTGGTAGTTCCATACAGTGTTAAAACCATAGATCTCTGTCATCCTATTCTTTTTTTCCAATCTTTAATTTTATCATGTAAACGCACATCCGTTTACTTAACTACCACTCGGCCTTGATCGTGTCCGCCAATTTCTCAGCTAGCATGTCTGTCCACATTAATACCAAGCACAGGAATAGGGTCAGGCGGGCTGATTACTTACAGACGACAGACTGAGGCTCTCCACCTAAAAGAAGTCAGTCTACATGCGCAACCCTGATGAGGGCAGAGAACTTACCAGCCGGCAGGAACGGCATCGCAGAGCTGTCGATGACACGCACTGGTCTCAACGTCAGAAATTAGTAACACAATACGAGGACTGAAGTGGACATACAGTTCTTTACTCCAATCACACTTCCCTTACTGTCAACGACCGCTAATGGGTCACTCCTCTTCCCCATCTTACAAGTCGAAGTTGCATGTGACATAGGGCTCACCGTCTCTCGTAGGAACGCGATGATCTCCTTGTCACTTTCCACGCTGGATCCAGGCCAGACCTCATCCCCGATTGTGATGTTTTTCATGACCGGGGACCGCCACAGCTGCCGCATCCGCTTGAAAATAGCAACCATAACTTCGAGGTCGGCGTCCGTCGTCATCCAATTAGGGTTGATGATAGGTGGGTCGTGCATGCTGGCCGAGGAAATAGATACAGATCCAGTCGATTGTGGCTTCATTATGATTCCCATCAGGCTGGCGTAGTTGTTTCCATCGTCTGGGGAAGGCGTGGTACCTAGGTCACCCAGGAATCTGGGGAGGGTGAGGTACTGGATGTCCGGCCAGTCCGATGGATAGGCCTCTAGACCTGGGTGAATAGACAGAAATCAGTGGAATGGTTAACCTAATTTGGGATGAATAGATACTCACCGTTCAAGGTCCCAGGAGAGAGCCCTGATCGTAAACCCGCGGGGATGTCTTCGAAACCGCCATACTCGCCCCCAGGGTTAGTCAGAGGCCCAGTGGCATTGGTATTGAACGCGATAATATCGGCCTCTGTAATGCCTAGTGTGTCCCCCGTTGGAAGATTGACACGGTAGACAATATCCGCGAAAATCTGATCCTGCATGTTCTGACCCACGCCTGGCCGGTCCGCTACGACGGGGATGCCGTGCTTTTTAAGCAGTTTTCTTGGCCCAACACCAGAAACTTGGAGTATTTGTGGTGATTGAAACACCCCACCAGCAACAATGACCTCTTTTCTCACGTGCAGGGTAAACTTTGCGTTGTCTGAGCTCGCCTGCACCCCAGTTGCCATGTTGCCGTGACTGAACAGGATCCGCTCTGCCAGCGTCTTCTGAAAGACGACTAGATTGCGCCGACCCAGTACTGGACGGAGGTATGCCGTGTCCGCAGAGGACCGCTTCCCGGTTGTCTGGTTAGTTGCGGACATGTGCCACGCTGATCCGTTGAGGGAACCGTCAATGTAGGCATTTTGTGCTGGCATGCCCGCAGCTTCAAGCATAACCGCCAGCCATGTTGTCCAGCTGTACGCGTAAGCGGGATATGTCACGTCCAAAGTCCCACTATGGCCAACCTCGGCAGGATCATAGGATGGGGTCGCATTGGCAAAACGAGTCCCGGCTCGATACGGCGTGAATCGCACGGGCTTCTTGTAATACTGGGCAATGTTTTCGTAGGTGAAGGACTTGTCACCAACCTCGGCTGCCCATTTGGAAAAGGCCCCGCGGCTCGATTCACCCCAAGCCATGGCATTGAGGTTGGAGCTTCCTCCTAGCTGCTGAGCATTAGCACAGCCTTCCTGATAGACGAGATAACTTACCACTTTTCCTCGCGGGTAGCGGACGACAAGATTATTGATGCCCTAGCAAGATGACGTGTAAGCAATCAGAAAGCGTTTAACTTGGAAACCGTGTCAAGCACAGAAAGAGAGTCTTACAGCCTGTGGTGTAGTCACGAAGTCCCAATCAATGGCAGTCGGAATTGAATTGACGCTCTTGAGGAGATACTTGCCGCCATAGCCAGGCACAGCGCTGAGATTTCCCACCACATCCTCGGCCCATGTACCAGCCTCAATGACTGCCACTGATACCTTTGGGTTTTCTGTAAGCCGATTTGCTAAAGTCAGGCCCCCGGGGCCACTGCCAACGATGACATAATCAAAGACGGACTCTGCCGGGTGTTGTCCAAGGGGGCTCGCCGAAACCGTCGTACTGCAGACATGCAATATGCCGACTACCAGGGGCAGCAGAAGATGCATGAACATCGGAGACGGTTTAATAGATTATCTGGGGAAGCTAGCAACGTATTCGTGAAGTGAATATAGCAACTCTCTATGCAATTGTGACTCTTACTTCAAGTCTGCCAGGACTTACTCCTGATTTTATATTACATCTCAACACAGCTTACTCTGTAGCGCCATACGGCTTTGATCCCAAGGCTATCACTTAAAGAGCCCCTAAATTCCGTTCATACCCGGGGGCACTCATATCTACTTGGGTCTGTTATGATATCTCTGCATACTCGGGTCTGTTGCCGTATCTCTGGTTGTCCTTGATCCTTCGTGCAACGCCACGGTTAGCCCCCGGACAACGATCCAGCTGCGCTGCGGAGTAAGTCTTATGTGAGATTTCGTTAAACCAGATCTCTGGGTCCAGTTTGTATTGAAGGTGGTGATTTCTGGAAAAATCGACTGATTAGATCTCTCCTGTACCGGCGTTTTAGATAGTAGCGTGGTAAGACTTGGTAATTTTAGCGTTCTATTTACAGTCAGATCTCACACATACGTGTTCCGTGTGATGAGGCTAAGGCATACACAATTATCAGACTGCCATTGCTAAGAGAAACCGAGGGTCCAGAAGGAAAAGTTATAGGACGGTAAATTTTGAGCGAAAGATCCTATCTAGGCTTAATCTGTACATTCAGAACCGCGCCTGTCTGTATCACAGTCCTGATAATACCTTCCAACTGCGAGCCATTGCAAATCAAGTCAGCTGATACCTGATAAGTGCTCGAATCGCTTGTTATAGTAGATTTTGAGGAACTAGTTCCTGTGCCCATCATGCTTTTATCCGTCAATATTCCATCCACAGGGTCCACGGGGTCACCGTCTGTTGCCGTTAGCTCCGTTATTTCTTAAGTGGAAGCCAGACTCACAAGACTCTAGAAGCGGACGGTTTCCCATCTCTTCAGATATTGCTCCCAGGTCAAAGTGCGTCACTAATCCTCCCCCCGGCACTACAGTGCTGGTAAGCGGGGCGGATGGGACTTCCCCAGTTTGATTGAATACATCCATCCAATCCAACGGCGTTGCAGGAAGCATTGACGAATAGCTAGAGCTAGAGCCTGTTATGGGGGGAAGATCCGGAATGTCGTCGTAATTGTACTCATCCCCGCTCTCGTCGTTCTGCCCACTATCGCCCCGGTCTTCATCGTCGTCTGCCTGGTCCATCAGATCCTGACTCGATTCTCCCGGCTCCTGTGGTGACTGCTTCCCATTGGCGTTCTTTTCATGTCTCAAACGCAAAGTCGCGTATCGGTTTTTAAGGGATAGTGTTGTCCTTCGGGGGTTGTGAGTTGTCGCTATAACGGACCAGTTGATGCTATTTGTGAGGACTTCGTGTAGCAGCCGCTCATCCTAATTACCGGGCACGTTGTCAGTCATGTCCCATCTGCAGTGTCAGAGAGCTTGCCTCGCTGCCAGTCCAGTCACAGTGATTGATCTCCGGATCTAGAACTTGGCTCCAGTGGCTGGAGCATTGATCGGGTGTTTGTGACACCACGTCGCGTGCAACCCTACGCCAGTCTGTGCCGTGCTTGCTCACTGCCTCGGTAAGTAGCTTGTCCTCCTCCTCTAACCACAGTCCCTTGGCAGTACCACCACCCAAGGTATTCCACCAGCGTCGACGGCAATCTTTATTCGATCGGCCGGGAACCTGTTTGGCAAGCTCACGCCACATGATTGGTCGAGACTGCTCCATCACTACAAGGTATTGTTAGCAACGGGTCTCAAGCCTGGATTTGCCAGGATCGGAGAAGCACCAGCTGTAACGGCCTTTTTCAACACAGAATCCTCCTCGGATGTCCATCTACGTCGAACTCTCGGCATAGTGAATAGATCAACTTGGAAGGGACAAGAATTGTGGAGACGATGGGTTGTAGAGTAGAGCACGAGCTGAGGTTGGGTTTAATTGTTTACTGGAAGATCGAAGGGTAAGATCTGACATGCTCTCCTGTACCCCTGTCCCATCTAGTCTGGGCGCATGTTAAGATCCTAGGAAGCAAAGACACGATGAACTCGAGGCTGCATGTTGCCATGGCAGGAAAATCTAGTCAACGCTTGTGTTGATAACCACACACATACAAAAGGTTTCAAGCGCTAAGCAGCGAGCTAGGGGAATCTTGGCGGTCTTAGCCGCTTGGTGGGTTGATCAGTAGTTACATGCAGGTCAAAGGTTTCAGATACGAGAATAAGCATATGCTCCTGCACGCTTAGTGCTTACCATCCTGGTACTGTTTCTGGTTACACTGGCGAGATTGGGGGCTGTGTTTGACCTCGCTTCAGCAATCTCTTATGGGAAGCATTAGCGGCTTTTCGGGGCCACTTAAAAGACCTCCACGCTTGCCATGGCGTGCCGTCCGGCCCGAGATATCAGTTTGCTTATTTCGGTGACTGCAGATGCATTGCGCTTTTTTTCCCAATAGGTGGAAGATCGATTCTAGGGTTCGATAAGCCCTACCCTTCACCTCACCCCTCACGTCCCGTGACGCAGCTGCAGTTTAAGTCGGTAAAATAGGTTGACCAAGACTCGGTCACTGTGGGATGGATGTTGGAGACCACTACTGTTCGGTTCGATAGGTTGGCCATATTCAATGTAGAACCTGAAGGAGCAAATCAGACCCTCCTATCGAAACAAATGGTATAATATATGGTTAAGAATAGGGTAGAATATCTAGAAATTCTACGGACCGCTGTGATAGCGTAGTCTATGTTGTATACAAATTATACAATATATTCATTTAGCTTTGTCCTCACAGATTGGAAAAAGAGTGGAATTTGCCAATTTAGTTAGTTAGAGTATTCAGAACGTTTTATCCCGATCTATAGGTCATCCCATACATTGGTAAAACCACGATTTCTGTCTGTCTATAAACAGTGTAAAATCTTCACCGAGAAATAGTGGGGCATCAAGTTTCTTCCATCAAATGAAATGCGTATATCCACCTGTATATCATATAGGTGGCGAACCCATAGGAGGATTTACAAAGAGTTCATAAACGTGGGATTTCCGGCTTAGCTAAATAGCTACGCCCTCTGTGGTCGAGGATCTTTCTACACGCTATGATAAGAGTACCTTCACAAATGGACTTTGTCTATAATTTTTGTTTTACACTTTTTTGTATCGTCCGCCCGGATGGTCTAGTGGTATGATTCTCCGTTTGGGTATACAGCTCAAGTTCGGAGAGGCCGCGTGTTCGAATCGCGCTTCGGGCCTTCTTTTTTGTCCTGTCTTCATGCTTTCTTTCTTTGCACCACCGTATTGCAATGAGCTCTTTCCATTTCCTCCTCCCGCAATCGCTCTATTCAGTTTCTTTTCATTAATGTCTAAGTTGACATATTGGGGTACCACTCCGAATGCAATGTGCAACCGCTGCATCTATAGAAGTCGTCCTAAGAGGTCTGTAATTTGTCAAGATCGTAAGCGAAGATTCTGATATATATAGTCTTGCGCGGAACGACAGACCGTAAAATTTCTTTTCACGGCAACAGCTATCATCAGGATTACGATCTCAATACTCAATGAAAGCCAGGGCATAACCGAATCTCCGGCTATCCTATTTTGGGACTGGTAGATGGAGGAAAACTGCTTGGAAATCCAACGGGGTATCTATTGTTTTTGAAAAATGTACATAGTTTTCATGCCCAACCTGCAAGCGTCCAACTCGATCGATCACCGCCAGATCTCAAGCCCGATCGACGATCAGGAACAGGATGGTCAATGTCTCGTGTAGCTCCAGCAAGTCCGTGCTGCAAGAACTTCTCTCGATCAATCTCTACCATCCCCCGGATCTTCAGACTAGTTGTCAGGCTTGCACCTGCCCATGGACCAAGAGATTCAACTTCGCGCAGCACTCCTTGGATAGGAACTGGTATGTCTTTGTTTTGTCGGCGGAGCTTCTGTTCCACAAAATCAATCTCAGGCACTTCCTTCGAGGGATCGGTTGTTTCGTCATCGGTGGACGGTGCTTCCCCAATGCTCTTAGAGGTTTCAGATTGGTTGGAAGCTTTGGGGGCAGAAAGTCTCAGCGCCTCCAATCTCTGTCGCTGTCGCTCGAGTGCTTTGCCTCGAATAGGACTCCACCCATGACGATCAATCAAGAGTGAGACTTCCGTAAGGACTCTCTGCCGCAGCCCAGGAATTCTAGAACCGCCGCCTACAAAGACAATGCGGGACATGCATGTTCCTCGTGCATCGGGGTACAGTGAGAGAAGGGTGTTGTAGACAAGCAAAGGCAATGATTTTTCTTCGTCATCAAGTTCATGTTCTGCGACACCTGGTGCAAATAAAATCCTCTCGGCAGGTTCAGCGAGACGTGCAAACGACACGTCCATGTATTCTTCTTCGGGGTTTGCAGGCGAAGGAATCGACAATTTCCGGTCGGGTTCATCTAAGCTTGTATTTTCTCCTGCCTGCGATTTGCACCAGGCAAACCGACTGACCACTTCTTCACAATAAGCAAATCCAACGGAGATCTTATCTGCAGTCTCCGTATCCTGGTTCCCATCGGAAGCCAACTCAGTAAGAAGTAGTCCCATTTCCTGCATCAAATGCTTCATAGACCGCGTTGTTCTTTTCGTAGTCATCTCTCGATATTCGTAGATCGCCGTTGCCGTAGCCTCGGCCCAGCCGAGGTCAACCACCAGAGCTGACCGCAGTCCCGCAGCCATGGCCGACATGGTCGCACTGGACAGAAGGGTAGCACTAGGGAAGCGCCAGCGACTGAAGAGCGTTGACAACAATGACGATAGCAATGGATGTGGCATGAGAGACGGCAGGACAAGAACCAGGCGAGATGTGCCTGCATCTGTCAACAGAAACTGGTTGTATGTTTCCCGAAACGCTCGCTCGATCTTATCCTCGACCAGGCCCAGATCCACCTCTCGAGAATCTGGCCGCCACAATTCATGTGCCCGTGCCCACTCTTCCATGTCGACAGGTTGCGGTAGCCGCCCAGCACCGGCGCTGCCCTGTATCCATCCTCGATAGTCCCCCGCTCTTCTTGATTCTTCGGGTCCAAAGCCAACCACACACACGGGTGTGCTACTTCCTTCAAAACCTGCACGGAGCCATCGTGCACCTATTTCAAATATGATCGCATCGTCTTCGCCTCGAAACGAGGAGCCTGGTGATGTGCTGCTGGTAAACGAGGGGTTTCCCGAACCCTGCTGCGGTGTATGAGGGGAAACGGGCCGTACTGTCTGGCTATTGCGCAGACCAGAATTTGCTGATGTGCGTTTACTAGCACCCATTGAAGGTGCATCACTCGCCATGCTTTGTTAAGCTCGGGCGCGTTGCTCCCCTTTCTAAAAGCAACAGGAGTCCGTGTGGTTTGTAGCGACAAATGTTCGATTCACCTGCACACTGGTTGGAGCTTCAACGCCATTGGATTAGTTTCAAAGACCAAAAAAAAGAAAAGTGAGGTCTATAGGCTTGCCCAGTTGGATCATTGGGGGAAGCTCGTTGGTAGGCAACGGATCTACATCGGGCCGTCTTGATTTACTTAACAACCTCCTCTCTCCGCAACAGCCAGTACACATTGCACGTCTTTAACTCCACATGGACCCTTTACCTGCTTTTTGATTTTTTTTGTTGCTTATAATCGGCATGGGTATCCCTGGGTAAGTGAATACATGTGGTTTTTTTATTTTTCTTTTTGCATGGTAGAAAACATATCCCTGAGCATTGAGAGAAAGTGTTGTTTATGCATCACATGAGAAGCAGAATTTCACATATCCAGATCTCTAGATCAAAAGGCTAACATTCCCAAGGCTTATCAATGCCATTGGCCCAGGAGAGCGTATCTCCCTAGCCAAGTTGGCAGTGACGCACCTGGAGCGGACAGCGAGGCCGATCCGCATTGCAGTCGACATCTCGATCTGGCTTTTTCAAGTTCAAGCAGGTCGGGGCGGGAGAAATCCAGAGCTACGTACCCTATTTTATCGATTATTGAAATTACTTGCATTGCCAGTTCACCCCCTTTTTGTTTATGATGGGCGGCAAAAACCTGCCTTCAAGAGAGGCAAAGCAGTCTCAGCCCGCAGTTATGGCAGTGCGCCGATCATCAAACGCTCTAAAGACCTCATCGAGCGGTTCAGATTCCCGTGGCATGAAGCACCCGGTGAGGCAGAAGCTGAATGTGCACGGTTACAGCAGGCTGGTATCGTAGACGCTGTCATGAGCAACGATGTCGATGCATTGATGTTCGGATCGTCTTTTACCATTATGAACTTCTCGAAAGAGAGCGGAAGCGGTACCTCTTCTGCAACCCATGTCACATGCTATGCAATGGGACAGAGTGGGCATCCATCAAACATACCCCTTGACCGACCGGGAATGATTCTTTTCGCTATGCTCAGTGGAGGTGACTATCTACCATCTGGTGTTCCGAAATGCGGCAGTAAGCTCGCTGCACAGATTGCCAAGGCTGGATTTGGCGAGGATCTTCTGCAGGGGCTTGCGTCGCAAGCAGACGTGGATACAGGTTTGAATGAGTGGAGAGAGAGACTTCAGTATGAACTTGAGGAGAATGAGAGTGGCTACTTTACGAGGAAACACCCATCAGTTCGAATTCCTGACATCTTCCCGGATCGACAAATTCTCGAGTACTACGCTCAACCCAAGGTTTCCGGCGATGAAGAGATGGCTTTTCTGAGAACTCGTCTCGCACAGGCTTGGGACAATGATATTGACCCCCAGGCAATCCGAGCATTTGCCGCGGACCATTTTGAATGGAATTATCGATCAGGGGCAAGGAAATTGATCAAACTGCTGGCTGAGCCTCTCGTCTCGTATAGACTTCGTCTTCGGAGGCCAGTTTTAGGCGTATCGCCTGGTTTTTCATATGTGCCCGATTGCCCAATCGGTCTGCAAAAGGTGTTCCGAAGCCGGTCAAGCTTTGGCACTGATGGAATTCCAGAACTACAGCTAGATATGCTGCCCGCAGATGTTGTTGGGCTGGATCTCCTTGCCGAAGAACCAAACCCGCCGTTTCCGTCCGAAACTAGTGCACAGGAAGGTGAGGAAGAGGAAGACAAAGAGCTGGCTGCTGAATCGGCACCCCCTGCACCATCGAAGTCACGGGTAACAAAACGGTTTGATCCGTTCTCTCTTGAAAAGGTCTGGGTATTCGAGACTGTCGCAAAATTAGGTATTCCTGAAGTCGTCAAAAATTGGGACAAAGAACAGACTGAAAAAGCGGCGAAAGCTGAAGAAGCTGCAGCGAAAAAGAAGACCAGTACTCGACGCACCGGTCCCAAGAAAAAAGGACCAATTGATGCTGGAATGAAACGGGGGAGTATCTTGAAATATGGAACTCTCACGAAAGAAAAATCCGGACTGTCAACAACTAAAAAAACGCACTTGCTGGATGCCGTTGCCTCAACCCAGAATCCTCTTAGCCGGCTTGTTGCCGGTGCTGCGTCTTCTTCACCAACCATCATGGACCGGGAAGACGATTTGTTTTCCTCATCGAGCACATATCTTCAGCAGAGAGCCTCACCGACAATGCACTACGTTTCCCGGGAGGTCGATGATCTCCTTGATTCATTCTCTTCGATGTGTAACTTGTCTCCTTCCGCCAATATCAAACGTCATCCCGTCTCAGATCAGTCCCGCATCAGATCAAGGCGCACAGCTTTGGGAACCGGTGTGGTTGATTTTGAAGAATCGGACGCAATTGCTATAAGCACCGATTGTTTTCCATCTCTCCCAGCAAGGTGCATGGGGCTCAAAATCAGCTACTCGGTCCCCGACGTTTGTGAATCTGAAACTTTCCTAGAGGACTTTCTAGTCAGCACACCAATGGCGCTGCCTTCTCCGCCCATAAAATCTCTATCAGAGTCAAAGAGGACTCCCAAGGTGCAGTGTAAGGAAAAGGGAGAGGTTGAACACATTGAAAAAGCCATCGAATCTCTTTCCCTGTCCTCGAAAACGGAAAAAGGCCAGTCTGAAGACACCACAGCTCGTTCATTGCGTCAGCCCCCAACGAAGAGGGCACCGCCAGCAACAAAAGCTCGGTCTCGTTCCTCCAAGGTCGAAGATGTCAAATCACCCCGATCTTGCAGTCAGGCCAATTCCAACCCCCAACTTGAGCCGGAGCTTGCATTGCCATTGAGCTTGAAAACGTGCAAAAATAATGAGACCAACGACGTAAAGTTTCCCAAGAAGTCCTCAAAGTCTTTGAAGGAGACAACGAGCACAACTTCGAAGAACACGACCACGGGGCACTTGGAAAACATTATCCTGCACGATGGTTTTTGGTCAATCGACCCTTCTCCGCCTGAACAAGAGTCGTGCGAAGGCTCAACTGCCGATAGCTTGAGCACAGCGCACAGACAGGCTACCAAGAAGAAAAGAATCCCACGTGTCAGCATTCTTGACCTCGTTTGATTAATGCTTTTAATATACCCCTCTTCTCGTTTTGGCAGACCGGCGTTTAGCATCAATTTGAAATTTCCCGGGTCTGGTACTATTTTAGGGACAATTTTGGACGCATGTGTAGCGCAATAGCACTTTGTTATTGTCCTACGGCGCTGGATGAACATTTTGGATACTTCTGCCAATAATCAGCCAAGCTGATGTCTTATGGATTGCTGGATGTGATGTACAAATGTTGCGGGCGTGTTTGTAAAATAAAAGAAGACCATGTGCGTATATCTGAAGAACGTACAAAAGCCATGTCCAGAAAGCAACCATGCAGAACAAACATCCAAAGAGCATAATTGAAGAGAAGAGAAAAGTTCCAACTTGGGTATTGCTTCAATCAGTCCCATCCGAACGAGAATCCAATTCTTGATGCAGCACAATGCCAGAAAGTAGAGAAGCATAAGAGAAACATGTCCCCAATATTGAACATGTAATATTAGAAAACGAAAAGGGAATAATGTGCAAGCGTTGACATATCAGAACTGTATCATTTATCCATCTACCCAAACACCTTGAGGAAACCCCAGAGGCCAATTCCACTCAACACCGGGATCGTCAGGTTATCATCCCAGCCCCACATGTCAATGAACTCGCTGCCGGCGGCAACAACGCCAGAGACAACGCTCATGACACCCAAAGCCACAGGGCCAGTTATGACCGCCGAGTCACTAGGCCCCCAGCCCAGAAGGCCGCGAACACAGTTCGGGAGCAGATTCAAGCGTCCCGTAAACATGAAAGCGTCTTCTGGGTCATTGGGGAAAGCACCAATGTAAGGCACGAACCATCCCCAGAAAGCAGCAGCGGTGACAACACCCACGAGCCATGCCGCTAAAGTGCCAGCCAAACTCTTCCCAGGACGCAGACGAGGGGTGTAGCGGCCGTACAAACGACCGAAAGTCGAGGCAGCGGTGTCACACCAGCTAAGGAGTAGCACGCTCATGACGCCAACATCCTTGGAGAAGAAGCGGAGAGCAACATACGCTCCGAGGAGATACCAGATCACACCATTGTAACCGGTGACCTCTGTTTCGCGCATGAGGGCACCCATGCACCGGATGTATACTTTGTTGACCTTCTCAAAGCGGTGGCGAATGAGGTCCGTTGCTGCAATCGGAACTAGCGCGGTAAAGAGGACAGGTGTTATTTGCAGGGATTGTACGCCTCGGCTGTATAATGACAAAGTCAAAAATCCGATTGACACGTGCAAAAGCTTGCGCGGGATCTCATGGCGGTGAATGAAACTGCGGTAGCGAGCGTGGAGGGGGATCAGGCCGAGAGGAGATGGGGATCTCGACAAGTCGTGCAGGGCGTCGGGAATGCTTGACGGGGATAAAAGATTGTTCGAGGCAGTACCGTTGGCCGAGCGCGGCGGCGAGGCGGGTATCTTGGGGTTTGATCGGCGGGTGCGCCGAGCCGAGGGTGTCGTGGGAGATCTTGATGCTCGCGCTGAAGTAGAAATTTCGGTAGAACCTTCTGGCTCACGGAAGCGACGTGCTGCAGATCGTGTTACCGGTGCGTGGTATCCATCGGGTGTCTCGGACTGGTCCGATGTAGATGGAGTGGGTGATGTCACGCGAGGTGTCGCCGGTACGGGGTTTGGTGAGGACATTTCGGGTGCCCTCAGTTTAAAAGAAGGAAGTGGTGCGGCTCGGACGACCCCAGAAGGTGGCCGGGTACAGAAATCTGCGTTGTCCCAGGCGAATATGCCCCGGATTGTCAATGGGCTGGCTAACAAAGCAATGACGGCGGTTTTATAGCACGTGACAGTGCTTAATCGTTGATTATGGGTGAGTAGGCTGGAAACACAAGGCAGGATTCCAGTACATGACGCGACCACCAAGCACCTTGTTCTATTAAATGAAAGTATAGTAAATATAGTAAGACTAAGTCGAGGGAAAATGCAGAACACGATCTCAGTTGCCGACCACAGCCGCGGTCACGTGTTTCGTATCTTATCGATAACGGATAATTTTTCTTATTTTTGCGATGGCGACTCGTCAAGCAATTTGACGACTCAGTGTCCGTTGGAATTATTAAATGCCTCCCAAGTCGTCTTCAAGAGCGTGGGATGCTCTCACGCCCCCGCTGTCAGAATGGACCCTCGACGCGGTGGCCTCAATGGGCTTCACGCGCATGACTCCAGTCCAGGCCTCGGCCATTCCTCTGTTTATGCAACACAAAGATGTGGTGGTAGAAGCTGTCACTGGAAGTGGAAAGACATTGTCATTCTTAATTCCAATTGTGGAAAAGCTTCTTCGCCTTGATCAGCCTCTTAAGAAACATCATGTTGGAGCCATTGTCATTTCTCCAACAAGGTGGGTTAAATGCGCAAATCCAGATCTGCAGAGCTCGTTGCTAATATTGAGATATCAGAGAATTGGCCTCACAAATCCACCAAGTTCTTCTCTCACTTTTGGAGTTCCACCCAGCATCGGCCGCAGCCATCAAACCGGCTGAAGAGGGTGCTCCTCGTGCGAAAACCTCTTCATCAACATTGAAAGTTGTACCACAACTTCTCCTGGGCGGTGGGACATCTCCGGCAGAAGATTTGAAACTTTTCCTTAAAAATTCGCCTAATGTATTAGTTTCTACACCCGGAAGATTGTTGGAGCTGCTTTCGTCGCCTCACGTTCACTGCCCCCAGGCATCCTTTGAAATGCTTGTCCTGGACGAGGCCGACAGACTTCTTGATCTTGGATTTAAGGACGACCTGCAGAAGATCCTGGGCCGGCTACCTAAGCAGCGGCGTACAGGATTGTTCAGTGCCAGCATCAGTGAGGCTGTTGATCAGATCGTCCGACTTGGTCTACGAAATCCCGTCAAAATTGCCGTCAAGGTCAGAGGAGCTGGCGTTGAAGAAAAGCGCACTCCAGCGAGGTATATCTTTTGATCTTACTCTCCAAATCCAAGCAGCACCCGATCTAACCACTGAATAGTCTGCAAATGACCTACTTGACAACCTCTCCACTTCACAAATACGCCATTCTGAAGCAAATCCTTTCCACGGTCCAGCCCACACCCCAAAAAACCATCTTCTTCGTATCGACATGCTCCAGCGTCGACTATCTCGCCACAATACTACCCATAATCTTAGGAGACGAATTCGTGCTAGTTCCACTACACGGAAAACACCAAGCCAACGTCCGCCAAAAGAACTTCAACCGCTTCACCACCTCCACAACCCCATCCATCCTCCTCACCACCGATGTCGCTGCTCGCGGTCTCGACATCCCTTCCGTCGATCTAGTAGTCCAAATCGACCCACCTTCCGACCCCAAAACCTTCATTCACAGATGCGGTCGTGCCGGTCGTGCCGGCCGTCGAGGCCTCAGCATCGTCCTCGTCCACCCAGGTCGCGAAGAGGACTACGTATCGTTTCTGGAAATCCGCAAAACACCCGTTGCGCCATATAACCTACCTGAGTTCACCGACGAACAGGCCACAGCGGCGATAGACAAAGTCCGCAAAGCGGTGTTGAAAGACCGCGCTATGCACGACAAGGGCCAGAAGGCATTCGTCAGCTGGCTGCGCAGTTACAGCAAGCACCAAGCAAGCAGTATCTTCCGAGTTGCGGATCTGGACTGGGAAGCTCTCGGCAAAGCATGGGGACTCCTCAAGCTGCCGAAGATGCCTGAAGCTCGCTCCTTTGAAGGGGATCGGACTTTGGGCATTAAACTTGAGTGGTCCAATTACACATACAAGGATAAGCAGCAAGAAAAGCGCCGCAAGGAGGCTATGGCGGAGGCTGCTAATTCACAAGGTACTGAGCAGGGATCTAACAAGCGCCGTGCTACGGAAAGTGTGGCTTGGAGTCAGAAGACCGAAGAACGGGATAAGAAGCTCAAGAAGAAGGAGTTCAAGAAAGCACGGAAGGAGAAGGAGAGATGGGAGCAATTGCCAGAGGATCAGAAGCAGAAGGCTCTTGAAACGGAGCGCATGCTAGAAGAGATTCGTGCTAAGAATGAGCAGCAGCGGTTGTTGAACCAAGCTAGCAAGGCGGAGGAAGCCAAGGGCGATGAATTCAAGGGCTTTGACTAGTCGGAAAACACCATGGAAGCATAGTAGATATCCATTACCACATTGTGTTTAATTCTCCAGCGCTACTCCAATTGCTACTGTACTCAATTGACTTGCAGTGGAAGCTAAGCATTCCATTCAAATATTACCTAACAACGCTAATATTCACTCATGACAATGCGCTAAAGAGCAGCAAAAAAGGGGAAAAACGCCCCAAAAAACCAAACATCGACTCCTAGGCCCATGCGTGGATCGATCCATCAGGAGATCCAAGGCGGTCCAGACGAGTCACACTGGAACGTACAGAAGGGGTTTCAAACCCCGGCCCAAGCCTAGAAAAGCGGGCCAGAGATACCCTGGATTAAGTCCAATGTTTTTCTTTTTTCTTGTTTTTTTTTCTTTCCTTTTTCGGGTATTTCAGAAGGTCTCTCAGAGAGTGTTTGAGAATGTAGTCGAAAGCATATTTCAGGAGGTCTTTCACAAGATTCAGTCACAGGCCAGATGATATGGTTCAGACAGTCTGTAGGGCATGCCGTGGCCAGTGAGAGGTTTTTTTTTTTCAAGTTTCTTTCACTGGGCGGCACGCCGAGTAGCAAGCCGGCTCATGAAGACCCCATGCTGGTGATCAATAAATGACTCCGGGGTGGGGAATTTATGGCAAATGGGGTATGCGCGCTTCCGGTACTTGTCAAGGTTAGGGTCGTGCCAGCCAAAGCACTCAACCCAAGATTCAGTCTCCGGCCAGATGATCTGGCTCAGATCACCAGTGGGGCATGCTGTAGCCAGTGAAGTTTTTCTCATCTTGCGGCGACGGAGGACGTCCTCGTCAATGAACGAGTTACAGCTGCCCGAGAAACGATGGGCCGCTCGAAGACGACTGGGGGTCTTCGGCTTGTACTGCTCCGCTTGCTTACGGGCCTTGCGGAGTTCGTCGCTAGAATATTCGATGGGCTGTGATGCGCCCTGGTCATTGAAGCTTTCCAGGTGGATATCCTCAGATTGAACACTCTTGGAGACATGCTCCTCTTCCGGTTCATCGCTGGGTGCAGCTCGTTTGGTCGTAGTTTCTTGGCGTACACGCTTGGAGACATGCCCCTCTTCAGGTACATCGCTGACTGTGACCTGTTTAGCCGTAGTATCCTGGCGCACACTCTTGGAAACATGTTCCTCGTTCAATACATCGCAGACAGTAGCCTGTTTAATCGTAGTATCTTCGAGTTCCTGCTCGCCTGTGAGCAAGTCCTCATCATCCTCATCGTAGATAAAGTAATCTGGGTCGAACCCATAACTACATCCTGGAGGGTGTGGAATGACATCGGGTGACGGGGATCGCTTGCGCTTCTTCGATTCTTTCTCGTAGATTGCGCGAACTTGCTCTTCCGAAGTTACAGGTTCGATATCCGCAGGATCCGACTTCCCGGCACGCATGCGCGCGAGCAGTTCGGGGTCGAAACCCCGTGGGAACAGATCATAGGAATATCGATTTCTGTCAACTCGTGGAGCGCGTGCGCTGGCTGTCAGACGCGAGTTTGGCACCGCAACACGTGGACGCGGAGTGGGAGATTCGAAACTTCTCGACAACATTAAGGAGGACTTAGGAGGGGGAGCTGAGGAGGGTGTGGTGACAGAAGAATATTCATTCCCCATTGGATGTTGAGGTTCAGCCACTAGAATCGCCATGTTAGCCACTTGGAATATATACACCATGGCACAAGGGGCACCTGCCTTGTGGGACTTCTGCAGTGTGGGGGAGCACATTGCCTCGTCCCCAAAGACCAGTCACTGAGTTGAAGATCCATTGTCGCCAACCAGGTCGGTTTCGATTTTGAGTTTGACTAGGTGGAAGTTCAGAAGGTAATGAAGATAATGGAACGATGCGATTATCATGGGGTGCGGTCTCTTCGTTTGCATTAGAGGCCGAAAGGGTCGAACTGCCAGATCTTGCATCTTCTCCCTGCTGAGCCAAGAGCTGCGGGAAACGGTAAATGGTGCGATCAATTCGTCCATCCCTTTCCGCTTCGCGTCGCCGCGCGCGATCCGCATAAGTTCTACGAGAGCTGCCACGAGGACGGTTTTCGAAGCCGGTTGGAGTTCTAAGTGCCAACTTGTGACGTTTTGACGGCGAGGGCTCGTCTTCGGACAATCGGTTCCGTTTCCTACTGGGCTCTTCCGTGGGGGTCAGCGGGGATTCATCCAGGGTATTGATGACAGGGGGTCTGCGAGGCCAGTCCCTCCAGGGAGATGGTGGGGACCATGGGAGTGACCAAGGGATTCGGCTAAATTTATCATAGAATCTTCCAGGCGGCCAGGCATAGTGCATCACGGGGGTCTGTGGTGGGGATGGAGTTGGCTCAGGCTCCTTTTTCAGGAGTTCGCTGGCACTGCCCCATTTGAAGGCCGTGATAATATGTCCTCTGAACATGCGCGGGGGGTCCCGGAGGGGCTTTGGGGGCAACGTACGGGTGTCAGGTTGCTCCACTGACGGGATAAGCGCAACGGGGTCTTCCTGGGACTCGGCCTGGGCTTCGGCGTCCTCAGGCTCCCCAGTGGGGGCAGCGGCATTCTTGCCCTTTGCCGCGGGCTTCTAGAAACATGAGTTAGTTATGAAGTATTGTGAAGTCTAGTTTCTGAACTGACCTTCTTGCGGCCGCCTCTCTTGGCTGGCTTCCGCTTTGGAGCGGGCTTCTCTGCAGCGGACTGTGTCTCGGACACAGTCTCTTGCGCCACATCGGGCGCGGTCTCGGGAGCAGTCTCCGTCGCAGCCGCCGACGCACTTCGCGTCGTGCGCCGGCGGCGTGGGACATACTCCGAGATTGGCGGAAGAACGTGGTTCGACCGCAGTCTCATCTCGGCGAAACGCGCAAGATGAGGAGGAGGGGGGTTGGTGGCGAGGGGGTTGTGGTGAGGGGCAGGTGAGTAAGGTCTTAATAAATTGTAATAGATCAGTCAGCGATTTTCAAAGGCAACGTAGCTACATATGTAGATTCTAACCGATTTGGTAAAGTCGATCACAAAGACTCTGGTGAGAGATATCCAAAGGCAGTGCTTTGGATGATAACTTTGCGGGTGATGAGGAGAAAATCAGAAGAGAAGAGAAGAAGAAGTAAAGGCGAGATGTAAACAACACGGTTGTTAGACGCGACCAAACGATCAATGGGGAAGGAACTGGTGGATTTTTGACCGAACCATGTCACTTTTTCAAAAATCGGAAGACGCGATCCGGCAATATGTTTGCTCCCAGGGCGGTATGAGTTGTATGCATGTTTCTCCCTCCAGGGCTTTCGCAAGGGAGGCCCGTGGACTATTGTTCCAATTATTGACATTCTTCTCTACTATCATGACAATTTTCTCAATAGGCTGTGGTGGTCTGAAGCTCCTATAACTTTTTTTTGGTTATTGTCAGACTTGATTCATGGTACCCTGTACCCTTCCTTGTCTGTGCTTTTCCCTCCTCGTTTCGTCTCAGATTAGACACAACTTCCCTATACTACGTAGTCCAACACCTCTTCAATAAGCCTAAAGTAGCTTCGGGGCCTATTCTTTCGCCATTGGTCATTTTCTGAAGGGTGCTATTCATTTTCTGAAGGGTGCTATCAATATCTTTACTCTATGTTACCATCACAATCTATCAATCAAAGCTTTTACGTACTTAACATCAGTGCCCATAGCCCAAAGCCTAATTGAGAGATGCCATCTGAACTGAAAAACGTTAGCGATCATCCAAGGGAATCTTTAATTTTTAGGAACTTAGCCCCCAATAGCAAGCTGGCCAATGTGGACCATTTCAGCGTGAAAGTAGATGTGGGAAAAGAAACAAAGCTATTTGTACAGATGCTCTATGGATGGAACATGGAAATAGAGACATGGACCAACAAGTACCCCTCGCTAGCTCCGAGATAGATGATACAAGGTAACACGCTGATACTTTTTTTCAAAGCCAGCCAATCGAAAAGAGGAGAAGGGCGTAGAGAAACACAAGACCTCAATAAGTTATTAAAACACTGCCCATCATAGAGCAATCTCTCCCTTCCACGCGGCGTCAGACAATCCCAATGTCCCCATCAGGTTCTGCCACCGGGGACCTCCACGTTCCTTCTTGCGGACATATTGTAGCAGCTTCTGGCGCTTGTGGACAAGTAGTTGCATGTTGCGCTTGTTGTGTTTGTCCTTGTTGGCGGTCTCGAGGTGTCGGGAGAGGTTCATGATTTTTACGGTCAGGATCGCAGCTTGCACCTCTGCAGAGCCGGTATCGGGTCCAACACGCGGTGCACGTTCCGGATTAACAGGGGAAGATTCATGGGTCACAGCCGAAGGCTTCGGTGGGAGAATTGAGTCTGTGTAGTGTCGCCCAAATGTTTCGATGCACTTTGTAATGTTGAGGCGCACGCGGTCCTTGGTATTTCCATTGTTCAGATTCACAATCCGGTTGATTGCTTCTTGGGCATTCCTATGCTCTTGGTTGTGCAGATTGACTGCCTCCTTCTCAACTTGAGGATCGGCTGCGTTGCGATCGGGATTTTTAAGCGGTGCGGTCAAATCCTTGGAGAAGTCGAGGGCGGCATCCAGCTCGGTCGATTTCAAGTAGTAGTTGAGATCCTCAGATAAGGATGATGGGATGTGTGAGTTGCTTTGGATTGCTGTCATCTCTAGGATAAATGGTGTCGGCTGGCTCTTGACAGGGTCTCCGAGCGAGGATTCCCGTTCCTCCGCAAGGACTTTCTGGCGGGAGATATTGGCTGTCTTACGCTGGCGCGCCTGGGCCATCAGGAATGGATCATGTTTCCTCCGGATTTGGACCTTGCTGGAGGCAGCTCTGACAGAAGTGTTGATCGAATTGGACAACGGGCTAGATCCGTAGGTCGATCCTATACGAGCCTTGATTAGCACCGAGGTAGTTGAACACTTGACTTGACTGATCTAGACTAGCATACCGGTCAATACCTTGAGAGAGGACTGAACTGAAATGCGCGGAGGCATGGTGGGCGTAGTTGGCAAGTAGATGGGTCTGTTGCAACGATCAACTTCTCTTTTCCATCGACCTTTCGTCGGGAAATCTTGCGGCCGGAGGTCCATTACGCTAATCCTTAGTCAGGATGTTCTTTGCCCCAGGCATTCAGCATCACGTGAGAGGAGTGCCAATTGTCTGAATTACATAACCAATACCCCAGCGGGCCCTGGAGCCCTAGCCCTAGCGCACGCAAGCGAAATTATCCCGAATCGCGAGAATGCAACAATTTTGCGGCTTGGCTTTGATCTTTTTCCCTCCATCACCACGACAAGAGCCAGACGATTGATCCCCCAACTCATCAATCCATCAATCGCCCAAAATGGCCCCTTCCCAGCTCCCCCCGGTTTTCAACCCTACCGCGCAGGACATCGAGATGCTCCTTGCCGCTCAGTGCCACCTTGGTTCCAAGAACCTTCAGGTGCACATGGAGCCTTACCTATGGAAGCTCCGTGCCGACGGTGTCAACGTCCTGAACATTGGCAAGACCTGGTATGCGCGAAAGCAAACCGACTTCTGTCCTTGGCATAGTATCTAACATATGTTTCGCTGAAATAGGGAGAAGATCGTCCTGGCTGCCCGTATCATCGCCGCCATCGACAACCCCGCCGATGTCTGTGTCATCTCCGCTCGTCCCTACGGTCAGCGTGCTGTCCTGAAGTTCGCCTCCCACACCGGTGCCACCGCCATTGCCGGTCGTTTCACCCCCGGTAACTTCACCAACTACATCACCCGCTCTTTCAAGGAGCCCCGTCTCATCATCGTGACCGACCCTCGCACTGATGCCCAGGCCATCAAGGAGGCTTCTTATGTCAACATCCCCGTCATTGCCCTTTGCGACACTGACTCCCCCACCGAATTCGTCGATGTTGCCATCCCCACCAACAACAAGGGTCGCCACGCCATCGGTCTCGTCTGGTGGATGCTCGCCCGTGAGGTCCTTCGTCTCCGCGGTACTCTCGCTACCCGTGAGACCGAGTGGGACACCGTTGTCGATCTCTACTTCTACCGCGACCCCGAGGCCGAGGAGAACAAGGAGATTGCTGATGAGGCCAAGGTCGCTGGTGCTGAGGAGATCGGTGCCGGTGCCATCGAGTCCGGCTTCGCTGGTGAGAACTGGGATGCCTCCGCCCCCGGCGCTGGTAACCCCGGTACTGCCTTCGCTGCCTCCGCTGCCACCGCTACTGCCGGTGCCACCAGCTGGGATGCCGAGGGTGCCGACTGGGCCGCCAGCTCCGCTCCCCCCACCACCGAGTGGGCTGAGGCTCAGCCCGCAGCTGGTGAGGCCAAGTGGTAAATTGCTTCGCGGTGACGAGGATAGTCTTTGAGAGGGGGGAAAGTTGATCTCAATAAAAAGTTTGGTGATCCGGGATGATTGTGACGATTTTCTGGGTCGCTTGAGGCACGGGAAACGAAGAAATGCTCATGTTTTCTCTTATACACCATCTACTCCATTCACACCAATGGATTACAATCTCCCGCAAATTCCCTTGACGTTTCTATCCTAGTCCCTGTGTGCAATTCTCAAAAAAACCCAAAGAAACTGAAAAACAGCAGAAGAAAACGAGCTTTCACCGGGAACCTTTCAATCTTTTGCTTCAGTGGTCTCATCATACCAGCACTTTTTTTTATTTCCATGTCTTTGCATCGGGGAGGAATTGCCATGCCAATCATTGACTGGCGCTTATGAGGGAAAGAGATCCAGTCGCTTTAATTTATGAAGCTTCTGGGGGAAAGCCCTGTGCTGTCAATTCACAAGGTGGACTTGATCGTTACCTTGGTTTTTCCCTGTTTGTGTTCTAGTAATCTGAAAAGGTTGTGCTTGGTATCAGATCTAGTAGGTTTTGTAGTGTATGTGCCTGGCTGTAGACTGATAGTATTGCCAAATACGTGCACTTTCTGGGAACAATCGCATCCGCGCAACCTTTAAAGGTCAGAGTTCCGCTTGGGACATCGTCTGTCTGCAGAGTACCTACTCCCCGGTCTAATGGAAGGTCTCTTCTCTAGCATCTAGGCTGCTATGTTTCAAAATGCATTGGACCCTTCGGTTGGTTGGTCAAGAAGGATTTGAAATTTATATCAACTGGTCGCTGAGAAAACCAAGGTGCTGACCTAGTCCTCCGGAAACATGTATTGATCACTGACACGTCTGGTATATACATGACGGGGTATGGGGAAACAGGGTAGAAACAAGAAACAATCACATAACAACGCAAGAGGTGCCCTCAGACTGACCACCTTTTTCAGTCGTCGTCATTGCCGCCAATCTAGCAAGATCTTCAAACGTCTCTACAAGCAGCTCGCCTGTGACAGCCGAACACTCGGCGTATCTATCGCAACGAAGTTCCTGTGCAATACGATAGCCCTGGACAGCCCAGTTAGTCAATTCAAGGCGCGAGACTCCGGCTCATAGCCACTCACTTCTTGTGGATAGATGATGCCCTCACCTTCTCTCCGCAGATCCCTTTTCAGGCCTATCATCATCACTGGAAGCCGCTCGCTATGACCGTATTGGAAGTAGCGCGTAATGTCATTTCGCCACTAAAAAAAACATAGGGATTCAGCGCGAAGTAATCATCAATCCGAATGTATATATGAGACTTACCTCTTTTAGTCCAGCAAGTGTGTTTCGATTGGAAATATCATAGGCTAGAACGGCGACATCGGGTCGAAGATTGGTCCAGTGCTGGTTTGGGTTGGATGTGTCGTAAAGCTCTAAAGTGAATGTCTTTTTTGAGAACCTGATGTCGTAGATGAAAGGCTGATCACCATCTCGTAATAGTTCAAGGGTATTTGCGTCAGTATTAGATGGCCCTGATGGGAGTGGTCTTCCACTCTTCAGGCGACTGGATCAAATTAGCATGTCCCCGTATAACAATATAACAATATAACAATATCCGTAGACCATCTGGAGATTGCAGACAGCTGGCTTCTGGGGCGTGGGACGACCGGGTACTCACGATAAGAATGTTGATTTCCCACATCCTGGATCTCCAAGTAGAAGTAGAGAGACTGAGTGGTTACTCTCCGGGTATGGATCTGCCTCGGCCATGTCAGAGTGGTTGTTGATTCGATTTATGTGCAACTGTCCAGGTCTTGATCAACTTTCACCGTTTGTCCGGTCAATCAACCTGTCTTTTGCAGAAAATTTTCTCCGTTGTGAATACAGACTATTCTATATGAATGATTTCACCGCAATATCTTTAGAGAATTGTAGGTGTTTGGATTAGAGACGTGATCAGCTTTGGTGACAGGGTTCGAGGCTTGGCGAATCCAGCGTGGTAGTCAATTTATATTGTGCCTACTGCCCTAGCACCCCTTTCATTAATACTCTTTGAAACTCTTTGTGGCCTGGATTAGTATGCAAAAAAGCTCTTTGAGTACAGCATCACTGTAAAAAATGTTGTATTACAGCTACATACATTGAATACATTCAAGTCTGACCTTGGAGTGTATGTAATTACACTTGCGTACAACTATTCAATACACAAATTACACCAAACAGCGCCTCCGCGGAACTTTTTCAAATTCGTTCCCCGCCGGCTGAACGTGCACACCAATCAATCTCAGCCTCGGTCGCTTGACGTGGTATGTGGAAACCGTCCGCGAAACTCTTTCCACAGAATTACAACCTCCACCAAGCCCTCAGGCAAGCCCGATACTTGTGCCAACCTCGCACTTTCAAGCCCCAAACCATGGCGGACACCAGCAATAAGGGACAACCCGACTATTCGGCCTGGAGTAACTCCAGCCTCATCGCGCGCATCACAGAGCTAGAGCGTCAGCTTAAATCTCAGACGGCAGAATTTACAGCGCCGACCGAAGAGCTGTCGCAAGCTCCCCGTTCCTCTTCCGCGCCCATCTCCACCGACGTCCAGGAGCCTGCGATCCCTCTCCCTGAGACCTTCAATCCTTCTAAGAAGCGACCCCACTCTCCTCCAGATAGCGACACTACCCCAGTGCCTGCGCCGACGCGGCCAGTCAAAGCCCCGAAACCTCCAAAACCCGATCGCATTTTTGACCCCTCCAAATACTCGACGCGGTTCATTGCGCTCAAGTTCGCATATTTGGGACAGGCATACAATGGACTCGAACATACAAATGGAAATACTACACCTCTGCCTACCGTTGAAGAGATTCTGTGGAAGGCATTGCGGCGAACACGCCTCATCTCTCCCGAAACCACCTCTGATATGGAGCCAACCGATAGAGAGGAGCGCGTCCCAATGCGTCCCTACCACCTTCACTGGGATGGATGCGATTATTCTAAAGCAGGTCGCACGGATAAGGGCGTGAGCGCTTTTGGGCAGGTTATTGGACTGCGGGTCCGCAGTCAACGGCCCGTGCCTAAGACCCCCGCTGCGGGCGATGATGCGATGAACGTTGACTCGGTGTCTACTGAAAAGGAGTGGGATGATGTAGCCGATGAAATGAACTATATCAATGTTCTAAATAGGGTGCTTCCGGAAGATATCAGGGTTCTGGCGTGGTGTCCTAACCCGCCGCCTGGTTTCGATGCCCGCTTCTCCTGCCGAGAACGTCGGTACAAGTACTTCTTCACCAACCCCGCGTTCACTCCAACTCCTGGGTCCGTTGGGTTCCAGAACCGTGCACAGAACGGCAATGGTCCGCGCTCTGAGCTTCGCGAGGGCTGGCTAGACATTGAGGCTATGCGAGAGGCAGCCAAGCATTTCGAGGGCCTACATGATTTCCGAAATTTCTGCAAGTTGGACACCAACAAGCAGATTGATAATTTCGAACGCATAATCCATCACTCTAGTATCGAAGCCGTCAATGCCAAGGTCAACCCTGTGGGCTATGTTGGCCAACCTGGATTCCAAGCCAAAGAGGGTTGTGTGCCCGACCCGGATTTGCTGTCCCCCGATATGATTTCTCAAAATGTTCCTCAGGTATACACGTTCAACCTCCACGGTTCTGCCTTCTTGTGGCACCAGGTGCGACACATGGTTGCAATTTTGTTCCTAGTCGGACAGGGACTCGAGTCCCCATCTATCGTCCCTGAACTGCTGGACATTACCAAGAATCCGCGAAAGCCGACATACTCGATGGCTGATGATGCTCCGCTGGTTCTTTGGGACTGTATTTTCCCCGACCTAGAGTCTGGCAGTCACCTGGATTCCTTGAACTGGATCTATGCTGGTGACAGCCCTGTAAAGGGCAAGGGAAGCGCCAAGGGTGATAGCAAGTTCGGAATGCGGGGCACCGTTGAAAGTCTGTGGACCGTCTGGAGAAAGCGAAAGATAGATGAGATTCTGGCGGGTGCTCTGCTGGACTTGACGGTCAGCCAGGGTAACCAGAACGTGGAAGACATTGACAACCAGTGGCAAAATGCGGCAGATTCTAAGAAAGCAAACAGAGGTGCCAAGGTCTGGTATGGTGGAAATGACACTATTGTTGGCGGGAAATATACCCCTGTCGACAAGAAGTCCAAGATGCAGACTGTGGAAGTTCAAAATGCCAAAGGACTCCTCACAAAGCAGCGAAGACTAGCGAAGGGCGAAGCTGCAAGGACAGCACTGGAATGAATCTCGTTGTACATACTTGCTGATAGAGCATCGAACCTTGGGGTTAAGCAAGATAGGCTTTGGCTTTTGCACATGGAAAGATCTCTCCAGGCAGAGGTTGTGGTAATATCATGACTTCGCGTCGTAAAGACACCGCCGAGAACCTCTCCAAACCTGTTCTAAGATTTCTCGCTTGGGCAACATATGCTAGTCACCATATTAATTATGAGTACATAACGCTGGTGATATCACATACCGGGAAGACTACCAGAGCATCGGACTCGCCTTCAACAATGACCGCCAAATAGAAGCGGACTTCGAAACCCTTGAAGGCTTCGTGAATCACAATATCTTGGATTTGCGTGGTAGGAATGAACCTCGTTGAGGCAGTGGAAAGATACGTCGAGGACGATGTCGAGGTCTGGATTCCGAAGCCTCGAATAACCAAGAGCGATTCCTCTGTCGAATAATCAGCCATACACAGATCTCATTAAGCCAACTCTTCCCCCCCCCGACCTACCGATGTAACCTCTTTTGAAAACACCGTATATAACCAATGCACAAACCCCAGCAATTGCCAGAGGGTTGTGTGAATCCACCAAGCGACACAGTTTGGATCCGAGCGGGCTAGACCAAACGGCTGGCCAGCTTATCACCCTCCCATCTTCTTGGAAGAAGAAATGTCGGACGCGCGCAATGCCGACGCCAATCACACAGAAAAACAAAATTGTACGCAGTAGTACTTGGAGACCAAATAATATTCTAGCGGGGGAACTCGATCGTTGGTGTGCATTCGATACCGTGAAGGAGACTGTCGTCGGAGAGGGACGCTGAACTTCTAGTCGGCCCGCCATCTTGGCTGTGGAGAGCCAGGTAAAAAGGCAAAAGCGCCAGAATCAATTGATAGTTTGCATTGCAGCCTGTCTATTCAAGAGGTAGATCAAAAGCGCATAGAGATACAAGCGTACTTTGGACAGGAGAGCTCCTGATGTGAGCCAATAAGCTAATCTAATTTGGGATTAGCCGACTCCACTGGCAGCTACATATTGTCACGTGCCTCACAGCTTCATTTGGATTACATCTGGGCTTGTCGGGCACTCACACAACTTCATCTGTCCTCCATCCACAGTCATGGGCGACCGGTCACGAAGCAGGTCTCCACGTGCGAGAGAAAATACCGATAGAGATCGCCCCAGAAAGACGACTGGAGGCTTTCGGTGGAAAGACAAAAGCCGCACCGACGATTTCCGCAGCGATGATCGCAGATTAGAACGTGGATACCGAGATCGACCACGATCACCACGACGTGACCGAGAGAGCGATCGCTATGGAGATAGACCGAGAAATGCTGACCGCGACCGGGGTCAACAACGTGACGATCGAGATGCGCCGCGCGAAGACCGGGAAAAGAAAGCGAAGAAAGAGAAGAAGGAGAAGAAGCCGGTCGTTGCGCAATCCTCAGAACCTATGATTGTGGTCCATGTCAATGATCGTCTGGGAACCAAAGCTGCAATCCCCTGTCTTGCCTCAGATCCGATTAGTACGTCTTCTTTTTTTTCAATTGTTGATCGCCACCAGTGTGTTAACCTTTTACGCAGAGCTATTCAAAGCCCAAGTGGCAGCTCGAATCGGCCGTGAACCCCACGAAATCCTTCTCAAACGCCAAGGCGAACGCCCTTTTAAAGATCAACTTACACTGGAAGATTATGGAGTGAGCAACGGAGTTCAACTTGACTTGTGAGCCTAAAATCTGCACTTGTCTACCGGGACTGTGATACTAACTCTGTCATAGGGAGGTTGGAACGGGCGAATGACGGATTCCCGGAGCAGACTGCACTCGGTGGGAGAGTTATGCCAAGCTCTTTTTTTATGTTTTTTTTTAGTACTTATCATCTCGGGGACCGGAGCATAGGAGCCATGAAAATGTGTCTTTTTTCTTTCGAGATTTCCACAGCGACTGGTGATTTGAGAAGAACTCATGTATATCTACGGATGGGAACAATTGGAAATCCAAAGCAGTAAACCTGCTGACCATTCACTGCGTTCCTGTCTGCCCAGAAGGAATTCAAGGACGGTTTCTGCGGGGCCTCGTCACGACCATACGCTTTACCCGATCCGGGCCATTTGCCACCTGAGGCATCAGCAACAGATCCGCTCCACTCCAAAGAGGCTTTTTTCCCATCGCGGGACTCACATCGGGAATTTTTTTTTTTTCATGTCTTTGTCTCTCGAAGTCTCAATTATTCCTTCCGACATGAGGTAGCACTTGTCCTCTACAATTTCAAGAATCGCTATACTTTTCTTCCCTCTTCATTTTTTACTCCCTTGGCACCGAGATCGCTCCCCAGATTTTCCTCCCCCTCCATCCGATCTCTCCAAACCTGATTTCCTTCAGATTGGGAGCCCTTGTCTTTGACCTCCTACTTCAAATCCTCGCCATACACTCATAAACACAAACAACATGGTTCGCAATCTTGTCGTCATCGGAGGCAACTCCCACCCTCAGTTGACTCAGAGCATTTGCGGTGTTCTCGGAATTCCTCCCGCAGAGGTTTTACTCTCAAAATTCGCTGTGGGTGAGACTCGAGTTGAAATCCAAGAGTCCGTCCGTGAAAAGGATGTCTACATTATTCAATCCGGCGGCGGAAAAGTCAACGACCATCTGCTAGAGCTTCTCATCACCATTTCCGCATGCAAGACTGCCTCGGCCCGACGAGTCACCGCTGTCCTCCCTCTTTTCCCCTACTCTCGCCAGAGTGACATTCCTTACGACAAGGCCGGCGCTCCTCTCGTCAAAGCATCTGTGGGGGGCAAAGCCGCCAATGGCTATACATTCGAGAGCACCCCTCCGACCCCGGCTCCTGGTGGGAAAACTGAAGGCCTCGGCTTGATGAATGGAATGGAAAGCCTCCAGAGGAGCCTTGCTAAGGCTCAACTTGAGGACAGCACTGGCAGCCCTGTGAAGCGGCGGGGCAATGGTCTGCCCCGCAGCGACACAGCGGACTCTCTCAAGTCCTTGTCCAACGGCACCGACGACGCAACGAGCAGCAGCTCCTCCAAGATCAATTCTTTCCAGCCGCGTCCTGGTTACAAACAGTGGGTTGCACAGGCCGGCACCCTGGTGGCAGACCTCCTTACCTGCGCCGGCGCCGATCACATCATCACCATGGATTTGCACGACCCGCAGTACCAGGGATTCTTTGATATCCCAGTCGACAACCTCTACGGCCGTCCTCTTCTGAAGAGCTACATTCAGCGCAACATCCCAAGTTACAAGCAGGCTGTCATTGTCAGCCCCGATGCCGGAGGTGCTAAGCGCGCTACGGCTATTGCTGACCAAATGGGCATGGAATTTGCCCTGATCCACAAGGTAGGCTTATCGAGCGCCTGAATTTTTCTAGAGTTCTCTTAACAATTTCGTAGGAGCGCCGCCCCACCAAAATCACTGACCGCCAAAATGCCACCATGATGTTGGTTGGTGATGTCCGTGATCGGATAACCATTCTGATTGATGATCTGGCGGATACCTCGAATACGATTACTCGCGCTGCCAAGTTGCTCAAGAAGGAAGGTGCATCTCAGGTATATGCCCTTGTCACTCATGGTATCCTCAGTGGCGACGCCATCGAGCGCATCAACGCTAGTGCACTTGACAAGGTCGTTGTGACCAACAGCGTGGATCAAGTTGAGCACTTGCGCCGGTGCCCAAAGCTCGAGGTCCTGGAAGTCGGCCACGTTTTCGGCGAGGTGAGTCCTACGCGTCTGATTTATTCCACATCATGGACTGACCTATTCCCAGGCCATCCGCCGTGTGCACCACGGTGAAAGTATCAGTGTTCTCTTCCAGTATGACTGATCGCTGCCTAAACTTTTTTCCTTCCCTTTCTTCGATATCCTAAAATTTCCATGTTTGCTCTACGACCCCCCAACCTCAGTTACCCTTGCCATAGATCCAGGCTTGCAGTAGACTTGGTACGCTTGATATGATCTGGTATTTCTTTGATTTCTTTTTTATGTCGCTTGATCTCATCTGGCTTTGGCTGGCTATTTTTTTTTTTGTTTTCGAATGTTCCTGTCATACTTCTACCTCTGCCACACCCTTTGCCATCTGCACATATGAGCAATGAATGTTGAGTCGAGACTGAAAATTTTTTTTCAACATGCATGTAGTCGCCGGTCTTGGACTAGACTATCAATGTGGCTGAACTGTGTACTTCATGGAGATGTAATACTTTCCAATATTGAAGCTTATGCATGTCAGTCTGTGCTTGATTGATCACGATTTTCAATACTTGCATATCATGCCTGAGGTTGTCTGGCGCTTGAAGTATTTTTCTTTCCATTCTTGTGCTCACCTATCTGATTTAGAATACATGACTCGTGGATACTTCTTAAATCCCCAAGAGCGCAGTCACTCACTCTCTTTTGTCAAACACCTGGAAGAATAACATGGAGTTACTGCTATCAGAACTGATATCCTGATTCGTGTCATCTATTGGTCACGAAAAAAGCAACTAATCAATAGTTCCTTTGGCCCTATTTGTCACCATGAGTGTCGCTGGCAGGCTTTCATAAAAAAACGCTTACTACCTACCACCCACACTAACGCTAGCTTATAAGCGATGGTGAAATTTGCACAGCTAGAATGAAGTACACACCGGAAGTCATGGATCTGAAATCTTCATTTGTTCGAGTCAGATAACGAGAAAGCTATGTTTCTTCTCAGTTCTCATCATGAGTACATTGCGAAGCGAATGTCTTTCATCTTCAGATGGGTAGTATGCACCATGTATTGCCGTTGACAGGAAAGCTACATTCTGGGTTCAACATTGAGCACCGTAAACCGAGACTTCCTGAACAGAGTTTTGTATGATTGATTACGTTCTTATTCTGAGGGTAGTCGAGCAAGTAGAAGCCTTCTAACAAGATATACTCCAGCCATTTCATTGCAATACACAAGCCCGGCGAATTCATCCAGATAGATGCTCTTGCTTATTCTTGTATCATTTATCACCCTTTAACGCCATCACATATACGGGTTCCATGCGTCCTTAGTTCTATATTTTCAGTACATCGATTGATCGCGGATGCATCTATTGACTATTCAAACAATCACGCGTAGAATCTAGACAGTTACGGTTAATAGCGTTTTCGAACCCTTCCCTTTGTAGTTCACTCACTTCTTGTCTGCAAGTCTGCCCCCATCTCCCTTGGCAGTTATTATGTCAACGGTATGGTACGAAATGATCAACATGTAGATCTTCTTCGACTTCCACGCGTCTCATTCGTGGTATTGGTGTTGTAGACTAAACGTGTATAGTCTCTCTACGCGAACATCGGATAAATGTCGCACTTGCTAGGAAAGATAATTGCTAAAGAACACAAACAGCTTTTTCCGTGGACTTATCAGGCAATTCTTCAGGCGTCTCGATAACATACGAAGACATCCAAATCTGTGCAAAAGCCGGCAACGGAGACCAACTTTTACTCCCCTCCGTGCAATGACACATACATGTATGAGACGGAGATTCCAATATCTACGAGATACTCTGGGAATCATCAGAATTACCAGTGTCGCCCTCTATGGGGAGCCCGTGTTCACTGCTACTGGCATGGTGGCTCCATCCTTTGACGCGTGTTCTTCTTCGCCAGGGTCCCCGGAGAACAGTACCTCGCTCTCGATCGTTGGCTCAGGCTCAAGCCAAGTCACAGCGGTATGAAACTGAGAGAGATGTTATTCAGTCTACAAATGAAGCTGTAGATGAAACTGGAGATCTCTGGATGCGTTGTTAGAGAGAGAAGCTATCTACAGGTTAACTAAACTAAGTACTGGGAGCAAACAAAGAAGTCATGTGACTTCTGACAGAAACATTTGCGAAGAGCAGACCTCAACAAAGGCTACCTCGTCCGCTTTACCATTCGGTGAGCCACGTATACAATCCTGAAGAAGTAAGAACACAGTTTACTAACGTATTTCACAAGCGAGCCGGCCACCCCAACCAAAACGCGTCCATGAATTAGATCTTATTTAGTTCAACCACTCACCATGCCACCAATTCGTACTCAATCCTCTCAAAATTCAATAGAGCAAGAGGGTAGGATCTTACTAGCTATCCAGGCTTTTGAGAATCAAAAATCTCTTCAATTCTTGTGGAGTAGCCCCCCGGCCCTCTATAGTACGAGAAATAGCGAATCTTCTCCTTTAAAAGCGTGGAAATACCCCGGCTCTTTTAGTCGGCGAAAATTAGGTCACAAACTATATAAAACGATACCCTCTCCTTTCCTCCCGGTTCTCGAAACGATATAATTATGAGCGTGCGAAAGGCGAAGACCTAAAGATTATTTAGGGCTGGTTTAATCTTATTTAAAGATCTATCTTATAGGAGTTACCTACCTTCTCGATAATCTTATTTTGCTGAGCGTGTCAGGGTGCGGGCTGGCAGGACGGTATGATAGGAGATGACTGGTAGGAACAGGTCATAACAGATCAGATTCCACTTGACAGGTACAGGCAGGGGCAGGCTATTATACAAGACGTAGCTCGAAGAGCTACAACAGGATCTAGAACTGAAGTTCAGATAAAC